GACTGCTTCTCAGTGGCTATGACAGGCAGGGGGCAAGAAGACCAGAGCATCCTGTCCTGCCGAGAATGGGAACAGAAGACATCAGAGGGCTTCACATCCCTATTGTACACCCCACATTATCTGATCACTGGTAAGAACTTTTCTATCAGACTCTGCTATGGAAATACACTCTTTATTATCAGAGATCTTTTTGAGTATATTGGAATGCGGTAGCACAGCTGAGCAGGTGCACAGACGTAAACTCCCTAAACACAGATGTGTTTGTGGCTTGCTTCATTCATTCATTCATTCATTCAGTTTCAATTTCATGCGTTTTCATTATTATTTGTTATTTTATTGAAAATATTCATAATAAAAACCCTCCATTCACATGACATAGTTAGTCTTGCTCTCCTTAGTTCAAGGTAATCTGTTCTTTTAAGTACAGCTTAGCATGGTGGTTAAGAGCTGAGACTCTGGAGTCAGGCCCTGAATAATTGATTTCCTGGCTCCACCCTTGCTGATCATGTAAGTTTGGCCAATTTACCTAATGTCTCCAAGCCCCAGATTTCTCATATGCAAAGTAGGGATAGAGGTGGTTCCTACCATGTAGGGCGGTTGTGAGAAGTAAGTGAGAAAATCCATGTGAAGTGTAAATCGTGGTGCCTAGAACAGGGTAATATTTACCTATACTAATTTTCCCCTGGTGCCATCCTGGGGATGCTTATTTACACTCTTATTTCATCATCTTGGTTTCCTTAAATCCTTGTTAGAGGAAGGCAAGTCATAGATAATAAATAATTATGGTTTTTTATTCTTTCTTTCCAAAGAAAGAATCTGTCTTTGTTGATTTATGATATAGAATGATTTATAATGGCTCACACACGGAATTCAGGTGGACACTAAATTTCTCTGGGAGAAATTTCCTCTGGGAGAACATGGCAGTATATGGAAAAGTCAAATGAGGACTTTTCCCCCCCCCTTTGCTGGTAATATCAACTCACATTTCTCAGTGTTTCTGGAATTGTTTCTATTTGCTTATTCATTCTTTGATGATAAAGAAGGACGCCGTATTCTCATTTGGAAATATATGATGTCACTGTAGGTTTTTCCATTACTATATGTTTAATATAATAAAGATACAAAATGTGCATGGGGACAAGGTTAAAAGCATGATCTAGAATCTGGGGGTGCCATGAAGTTAATTAGGTGACTCTCACATCTGGTGGGGAGGCACCATTGATTGAAATGTCTCTTTGGAGAATTTCATGCATTTCTCACCATAAAGTAAAGGACATTATGGGGAAGAGAGGGGAACTTAGGGAGGCAAATAAAGCTCCCCAGTTACTTGGATTGTGTTGTATTTTTTTTCCTAAAAGATTGTTATTTGTTCAGTCTTTAATTAAACACTGAGGCAGTACCACGTCATTGGCTAGCCGCTGGGGATGTAAAGGTTAATGATGATCACCCTGTACTCTAGTTACTCACAATGTATTAGCAAGAAACACACACACATGTTATGATTAGGAAAAAAATGTAAACGACATAATTGAGGTTTTCACATCTTATCATAAGACGCTTTTTAAAAAGCTCACAAAAACTATTTTTGTTTTCTAGTCATAGACATCACCCTTTTCCTTACAGTAGAGTCTCGAAAATGCCTTTGTGCATGGCCACGAAAGTTTGTGAGAGAATTGTAGAAGATATACCAGAGTGAAATATCAGTGATTTGTTTGGTTTTTCTCCCCCAGCTTTGAAGGCATACATTTTGGTATTCTCCAAACTTGGGGTGGGGGGATATTTATTTGTAATTCGAAGAGTCTGAAATGTGTTGCTGTAGGTTAGCCTTCTGCTTAGAGTTGCTGCGTCACCAAAGCTGGAGAGAACCTGATTTGAGTTTGTATAATAACTTGTCACTAAGTGAATAAAAAAGATTTCTTTTTTCGTTGGCCACAAAGGTTTTCTTTTTCCTTTTAATAGAAGTCTGGTTTTTAAAAAAATTGCCCATGAGTTATTTTTCCATAGTACCCATCGTCAGTCTATTTTTATCTCCCCCTTAAGGCATGCTTAAGCGAAGGGATATGTCATTGGCTTAGTACATATTGATATTCTTTCTGAAACAGGATATGATATAGTATAATACTTGGATAACAGGATTCTGTCTAGACTGGTGAAATTAAAATAGTGACAGAGCAAAAAGAATCTCTTTCTGAAATAGAATAGGAAACATTGCTTTACCAGAATATTGATGAAACTTGCAAATATGGAGGGGTATTTTATATCCGTATTAAAGTTAAGGTTTTAATATCTGGAACGCTTTGTTGACTTTTGGATATTCATCTTATTGGTATTCATTATTTTAGACTGGCCTGTCAGAAGATAAAGTGAAATTTGTTTTAAACATTCCAGTAGGGATAAAAAGGAGCCTCAAACATAAGCGCTTCTCAAAAAAATGTAAAAATATAAAGTAGCGCATACTGTCCGTGATACAGAAGACAGGAAAATGGTCACACTGCTTGTGTTTGGGGCTAAAATATCATCAATAAACGTTTTTGATGCGTAAGAAGCAAAACCAAATACCAATCTTAAATCTCAGGAGTTTTGATTAACTAAAGCCAAGTTCTTAAATCATTTTGGAGCTCTGCATTTGTTTAATAAAATAATTTATTTCCCAATTTATTTCTCTAGGTATGTTTCCTTGAGCAAACTACCAAGGAACTATTTTAAGCCAGGGACTGCTGTGAAACTTGCTACACCAGATTTCCACTTCTTTCATTCCCATGAGGCCAGGAAGGGTGTGGAGAGAGAGTGACCCTGTATTCTTAGGACCAGGCTTGACTGAATCAGTGGGTGTCCCGAGCAGATGAATGACCTCTCTTATCTCAACATTCTGGAAATATTTGCTCTTCATTTCTATAAAACAGAGAAAAGATTTACCTTATAGTATTCATATGAAGTGCAAAGGTTTTGAATTAACACATGGGATAGAATCAGTACTCAGCCATGCCCCAAGTCTGTGATCTTGGACGAAACTATTTACTATTTCTCAGTTTTCCCATCTATAAAATGGGCATAATAGTAGTTCTGTCTTTATAAGGGTATAGTGAGGATCAATTCCTGTAAAGTCCTTAGCAAAGTGGCCATCGAATGGTGAATTCTTGCAAAAATAGTATTACCTGGTATGATAAAAGTATAATTCATTTATCTGAAGGTGAATTTTTACACATTTCCTTTAAGCATATCTTAAATTTGAAATAATAGTGAATTTTCTTCCATTGTGAAGAAAGCTTACAGCCCTTCTCCTTGAATTATAGTAGATGACAATTGGGTAATATTAATTTAACTCTGCATCCTCGGTTGGATCTGTCATTCCCAGCCCCGCCTTCAGAATTATATCATGTGGGAACTTCAGCTTCATTTGAGAATCCTTGCAGCGATTTATATTCTCTTCGTTCAGACCTCATCAGTCACCACTCTGGAAAAATACCCAAAAAACCCACAGATAATAGGTGTGGAAATGACCCCACAGAAATGTGCATTGGTTGCCCTTTCTCATATGCGAGGGCAGGAATGGGTATAACGTAAGAATAAAAAAAAAAAAAAAAAAAAAACAAGGTAAGCCAGGTAGTTGAATCTGTTACATGTATCTATCTAGATTTAAATCAAAAAGAGAATAAAAATGTTGCAAAACAGTCATAAATTCATATCCATATGCTTCCTTAGAGATGTGGTTATGGCTCTCATTTCTTCCCCTGTATGAGAGAAGGGAGATTTGGGTCGACAGAGCCATTATTTAAGGCAAGGATCGAGTGGTGAATAAGCATGGAGAGAGAGTTGGTAGTTCTGAGCCTCACTAATGCCCTACACTCTCTTCCCTGCTTGGTCCCCAGGCTGAAGCTACTCTGACCAAGGCTACACCGTGTGCTAATACCCCTAGTATTGCATTCTGTGGATGTTGGCTGTGTGTTCTTTGCCTGAGGCAGGCAGCCATTTGATTCTGTCATAGGCACCAGGATATTGAAATTCAGAAGCTCATGGTTGCTGGTACATTAATTTTTCTCGGGCTGATATTCTTTCTATTTTACTTTTTTTTTTTTTTTTTTAGATTTTATTTATTTATTTGACAGAGAGAGACACAGTGAGAGAGGGAACACAAGCAGGGGGAGTGGGAGAGGGAGAAGCAGACTCCTTGCTGAGCAGGGAGCCCGATGCAGGGCTTGATCACAGGACCCTGGGACCATGACCTGAGCTGAAGGCGGACGCTCAATGACTGAGCCACCCAGGCGCCCCTCTGTTTTACTTATTTATTTTTTTATTTATTTGAATATAAATGGGGTAACATTACCTTGGATCTAAATGATGTCCACAAGTATATATTGATTTGAATTAGTGGCTGATCAATAGCATTTGTGTTTGTATTGAATTTGGGGACCCTGTATTTATAAATGAAAGTTCTGTGGGGAGTTTGAGGTCTCCTTTTCCTTTGTGGACCAGTGCAAATTCAAGTTTCATTTCTTGGGTCTTCTTTTGGTGTTTTGGATGATAGATTTATAAGAGCACAAAAAATTAAGCCTTCTACTAGATGGTTACCACGCAGGATGATGTCCTTATATGATGTTAATTAAATACTACGACACAACATGAAAAACAATACTCTTAGGTACAAACACACAAAACATGTTAGGTCATGTTCTTTTTTCCCATAGTGCATTTGTTTCTACTTTTTGGAGTACTAAGAATGATATCACTGATATGGAAGCCTATTCTTTTAAAAGTTAATTTTTTTTGCATATATATTTATGTTTTCTGCTTTTGCAGTTGCTGATTTGCCAGTATTGTCAAAAGTGAAGCAAATGTTTATTGTCTTGGGCGTGCTCCTAATTTACATCAGCAATTTTAACATCAAATGAAGGACCTAATATGTTCTGAGTTTACCTCTTAAGATGAAGAGTAACTAGAAGACTGAGAAGTCCTTAGATATTAAATAATTTTTAGAATATTAAACTTTTTTTCTCTTGTAGTGAAAGATTTTTTTTGAGGCTGAATAGAAACGGACTTCCCAAAGCCCCAGATAAACCAGAACGACATTGCTCTCTCTTTGTGGTAAGTGGATCTTGTTTCCTCTAGGAGGCGGATTCTTCTAATCGTACTTTATGTTACTTAAGGGAAATAAATTATTGTGAGAGAACATAGTGACTTTGCTTAAACTTTGTAAATAATACACAAAGTACAGTAGGGCGGGGCTGTGGGCCTGGGTATTGAGGAGGACACATGTTGTGATGAGCACTGGGTGTTATACGCAACTAATGAATCGTTGAACACATCAGAAACTAATGATGTACTATCTGTTGGCTAATTGAACATAATAAAAAGCATAAAATAAAGTAAAAGTGCTTGACAAAAACAAAACAAAACAAAACAAAAACACCAAAGTACAGTAGTGCCCAGAATCCTAGACACACCTCTGTTCCTTTGGTGTATGTTAGAGCCTGTTATAGTCCGCATGACATATGGCAATTAGAATGTACTTAATAAATGTTTAAAGAATGAGTGAGTGAGAGATTAAAATAAGAATGGGTTTTTATTTTAAGTATTGTTTGACATCAGTAGACTTACACTGTAAACTTGTAGTGGTATTTTTCTTTTATGTTTTTATTTAAATTCCAGTTAGTTAACACAGTGTAAGATTAGTTTCAGGTGTACAATATAGTGATTCAGCACTTCCATACAACACCTGGTGCTCATCACTGCAAGTGCCTCCTTAATCCTCATCACCTGTTTTAACTCATCCCCCCCCCCCCTCCCCTCTGGTAACCCTGTTTGTTCTCTGTAGTTAAGAGTCTGTTTCTTGGTCTCTCCCTCTCTCTTTTTCCCTTTGCTCATTTGTTTTGTTTCTTAAATTCCACATATGAGTGAAATATGTGGCATTTGTCTTTCTCGGACTGACTTATTTTGCTTAGCATAATACTCTGTAGCGCCATCCCTGTTGTTGCAAATGGCAAGATTTCATTTTTTTTATGGCTGAGTAATATTCCATTGTGTGCACGCACATGCATGTGTGTGTATCACATCTTCTTTATCCACTCATCAGTTGATGGACACTTGGGCTGTTTCTATAATTTGGCTATTGTAGAATGGGCTGTTTTGTTTTTTTTAAGCATCATTTGATATCCATAGACTAAGTATTAAGTTGATTGTGGTGGTATTTTTAGAACAGGATTTGAATTATGTGCTTCTGCTACAAAATTCCATTAAGAATGTCTACATTATCTTTGCCTTTCTAATGTTATTTGTGGGAATGATGTGCTGTGACCTTTCATACTTCTATATAAATTATGAGTTTTAAATAATCCTTTTTTTTTTCTTTTGGTAGGATTTGGGTAGCAGTGAGCTAAGAAGGGACATCTATATCACTGTGCACATTATCCGAATTGGTAAGTCCAACACTTGGCAGTGTGATATAGGTGCACAGCAGGGGGAAGAGGTGCTGAAAGGTCACTGTGTTGGCGTGATTTCTTTGCTGTCTGGATCGGAAGGAAGGGAAAGCCAGTTTGGAGTTTAAGAATCACCGCATTGGGGAATTATTCCCTTGCCTCCCCAAACTCACAGAGAGCCTCCTCATGCATCATAAATAGACCTTGTTTTCTTTCCATTTAGGTCATTAGGTAGTTTGTTGTGCTTTGTTTTGTTTTATTGGACTCCCATAGCATATTTGATTCAAAATTTGGTATTTGTCTTTATGAATTCTAATTTCTGTTAACAGCATTAATTAAACTTCTTCTAGGATCTGGATTTCCTACAAGTTTATGAAAATTTTGTACTAATTGGCATTTTCCAAAGTGCAGAATGCTACAGAGCATTACTGCAAAAAGTGCTACAAGTAAAGTGTTATGAAACCCTGAATGCTATATACTTTTTCCACTTTTATAATATCATCAGCTCATTAAAGGGTCTCAGGAGTCCTCCAGGGAAATATTAAAATGCCTCTAACTTTGTTGGCCCTAGCTTTCTCCAAATTTGATTTGACCATGGAAACATTTATATAATGTAACATTTATTAATATCTTGCAGAGCATGCTTTGGGTGTTCTACACCAAACTGGCACCACAGAGCCAGAATAGGTGCACTTGGGGGTGCCTGGGTGGCTCAGTCGTTAAGCGTCTGCCTCCGGCTCAGGTCACAATCCCAGGGTCCTGGGATCGAGCCCCGCATCAGGCTCCCTGCTCCTCAGGGAAGCCTGCTTCTCCCTCTCCCACTCCCCCTGCTTGTGTTCCCTCTCTCACTGTGTCTCTCTCTGTCAAATAAATAAAATCTTTAAAAAATAAATAAATAAATAAATAAATAAATAAATAAATAAATAAATAAATAAATAAAAAGAATAGGTGCACTTGTTTTTACTCATAAAATGCCTCTAAAAGCAGGTATTTTATGGCAGAGGAGCTAGGTATAATGAGGAATGGCATAGCCTACACAGTTTTTCTATTAAAGCTAACCAGCTGATACTGGGAACTGATTCTTCACTTCTTCACTGACTGTGCTCCATTATTTGCTTGGGAATACTTCTGCAGGATAGTCATATATTGCCATGCAATGCTGCATCATGATCTTTATTTTTATAGTCTTTTATGCATCTGATAACCACATTGTGCATCGGGAGAGACTATAAAACATGTTGCCATTCTAACATAGATTTTCTATTTTTTCTCGTAAAAATCAGTTCTGAAAACCCATTTTCACTGTATGCTATTTTTTGATTTGAGGGGCAGTTGGAATAAAAAAAAGTCAACTTTTTCATTTTAATTTTCTTTTTATAAGTGAGTATATATGGGAAAAAATTGAAAAGAATCTTTAAAAATGTTGGAAAAGTTGGAATGCATGCTGCTGAGTATTTACGAGAGAAAGCTGGCAGGGGTGCAGTTTGTTAGATAATTCTTTGTGTGTTCTTTTCATTCAAATTCATAATTTCACCATTTGTTCATGTAAAATGTGGTTTTGGATACCTTCATGTAAACATTGCATTTGAATATAATCTTCTACAATATCTAGAGAAAAACTCCTTTTGCTTTCAGAGATTTTTAGAAGGTATCTGCAGGCTTTGGGTGGTAGAAACACATGCGGCAAGGGGGCTCCAGGCCCTGTACGCCTGCGGCCTGGGGGGCCCTAATGCTGAGGAAGCCGCGTGTGTGTTACCGGTCACGTGGCTATCTTTTGAATAAGTGGTGTTGCATTAGTGATTGCATTTTTTTCCCTAAGATTATTATGATCGTTAAGCCATCAGAATGAATGTTGAATCAGAAATTATCTGTTACCCCCTTCCCCCCCTGAGCTTTGGTCAAATTAATCCTTCACTGAGATTACTGCAAAAGCTGCCTGATAGTCCGGTCCCATTTACTGGTTTGACATTTTGAGACTGAGAAGAAATTAGATTGAAGGTAAGAAACTCTAAGAAAGGGCAAGGCTTCATCTGCTGCAATGAAATTAAGGAGCAGAGGATTCTTGTCTATCAGGGACAGATACTTCTTACTTTTTCTAGAATGTCCCTTGTACCTGCTTTAGTAAGAAAAGGGCACGCTGACCCTCACCGGCTGCAGAGAACGAGAGCGATGGCATCTTGGCTCAGAATCTGAGCCCGGATCTTTGGTTAGAAAAGGAGGGGAAAAAAAGAGAAATAAATAGTTCTGTATCCTCCTGGCCACCCTGCTAAAGGTTTTCCCACCTCTCTGTTTCTACTTCCCTATGCCTACCTTCCTTTCTGCTTAGAGAAATTTCCTAGAAATCTGACCAGAACTGTGAACTTTTATTAATTCTAGAGTTGGGAACGCCAGGGTTGGCATCAAGTAGTCTTTTCAGCACAGGGCTTAGACCAAAGTTTTGGTCTAAGTTGTGGTGCCTGCAGAGCCGGGAAAGAAAAGTAGAAATGAGGGTCTGAGGACATGAGCGGTGTGGAGGCCCAGGAGCGATGGTGCCCAGTGGTCAGAGAGGGACCGAAACCTCCCTGCCGTCTTCAAGTTGTGAGGGAGCACTTCCTGCATCCCCCGTACGGGGCTGTCCTCCCCAGTCACCTACAGTTTTTCCTTTCCTGCAGTTCTAGCTGAAGGGGGTCAAAAAATCAGGGTGCTAGTCCTACCCTGCCTAAACTTCTAGGAATTTAGAGCTAGAGGAGTCCGTGGAAATAATGGTGATTAGTTTCAGGGTTTTTGTGGTGGTTTTTAACTACTAAACTTCTTGCTTGATGTCAAATGACTTTGAAATACTTAACTCAGAGATCTTCTAGTCACTTTGTCGTCTTGCATTTACAAGGGAATGATTAAGCAAGAAACATAAATCGTGATATTGGTAAGGATTGGAGGATATATTTCATCCTAATCCAATCTGTAATAATATTCAAAATAGAGATAACCTAGACTTTTTTTTTTTTCCCATTTCACAATTGGTCAGAGTTTTAAATTTGTCAGTTTTGTGAGTAAAAGTATAATTGGTTGATAAATTCAAGTATGACATGATAAAGTGTTTGATTTGCCAGTGTAATTTATATTAAAACATGGGTTGAAATTTAGCCACATATTACAGCATCATGTCATGAAAACATGATTTTTTGAATTTTGCACATCTAAAAGGCAACTGGCATGTTTTTTTAGTTTTGAGTCTGATAAAATAAGAAGTTTTCAGGCTATTTGTAAGCATTTCCCTAAAAATGATGCATGGTCGTGATAGTTTTACTTTATTACTGATGAATGAAAGCCAAACTGAATATTGCCATCCCCCCCCCCCTTTTTTTAACCTCTTTAACATTGGATTTGGGAAGTGCTGGAGTCCTCTAGATGTGCTATGGGAGAATTTTGCTCAGACGGAAAACAACTTCTATATCTGTTGCCAAGCACCTGGAAACAGATTTGCATATTTTTTTCGTTATTTTTCCTCACATTAACTTATTATATTTCAGGTTCAGTATAATTTTTGCTTTCTGTCTCCAAATAATCCATTGGCAAATATAATAATAAGTTAAAACAGTACCTCAATAACATACTTAAAAATATATAACAATTGAAACAAGTTAAAACTGTGTCAGAGTGAAAACCATCCCAGGAGATTTCAGCCATTGGCTGAATTGTAATCAGCCTGAGCCCTGGGTCAGGAAAAGGGCCTGCCTGCTCATTTGTTCATCTTTGCTTACTTGTTTTACCTTCAGGGGATCTCACACTGCTTCCTTTCAAAGGTGAAATATTTGAAATAGTTCTTTACGTTTGGAAATTTTTTAAAAATAGAAAAATGAAACGGGCACCATTATTGAATTTATTGACCTGAACCTCCTGGGTTACCTTCATGAGTCCTTGGGGGAGGGTTCCCAAACATGGGATCTGCTCCAGTCTCCATGTTTCGTTGGTGACAGCTGGTGCCCAGAGTTTCATCGATGAGCCCGAGGTCACACAGTGAGGTGCTTGGAAAGGAGAGTCAAGAACTGAAGCAGTGTCTTTTAATTGGGCCCTTTTAATTGCCCAGTTACATTTGATAGGGCCTCTGTATCTGTTTAAGGTGCACCGGTCAAATGGCTGCATGGACCATGTTTGCTTTTCACTTGAACAGGTCGAATGGGAGCAGGAGAGAAGAAGAATGCCTGTAGCGTCCAGTACCGGCGCCCCTTTGGCTGTGCAGTTCTTAGCATTGCCGACCTGCTGACAGGAGAGACAAAAGATGACCTCATCCTGAAGGTGTACATGTAAGAAGCACGCCCACGGAAGGGCTGGGGTGGGTGCCGAGGCACACGTGGATCCCACGTGGTGAAGGCAGCTCCAGGGGGGTCATGGGAAAGCAGGGGGAGGGTTGAGTTTATGAGCCACCCTAAGAAGCTCAATCTGAAAACTCACAGCAAGCAAGCCCACAAGTCACCATTCAGCAGTTAGAGGAACTGCGAAATCAAGAACCCAAGGATACAAACAGATTAGCGTGGGGTGGGCCGTCTCCTTCACAGAGTACCTCCTCTGAATTTAAAAACTGAACCTGTCCTTACCCTCAGAGAGTTAATTTGTTCTTGGAAAACGGACATAGTTTTTAACATAAACTGATTAGAATTAGGAAGAGAAAGCGCAGGTAGGTGATTTCCCTTCCATTTCCTGTATTAGGAGTTGGCTAGCTCTGCCCAACAGAGTACCAGGAAGAGGAGAGAGGCTTAAGCCTCAGGAGTTGGGATGGTCTCAGTTCTGGAGGCTGCAAGTCCTAGGTCAGGGTGGTGGCTCAGCTGATAGCTTCTGAGGGCTGGGAGGGACAGTCTGTCCCATGCCTTTCTCTCCTAGTTTCTGGTGGTTGCTGGCAAATTTTGGTGCTCTGTGACCCAGAGATGCATTGCCCAGTCACTGCCTTCATCTCTGTGTCCACATTTCCCCCTGTTATAAGGGCATAGTTAGATTGGGTTGGGGCCCCACCCCAGTGACCTAAATTTAACTTGTTTACCTCTGTAAAGGCCCCGTGTCCAAATAAGGTTACATTCTGAGGTACTAGGTCTTAGGATTTCAATATTCTCTTTTTAGGGGGAGAAACAGTTCAGCTCATAGCATTCTTCTAAGAAAATCACTTAATGTATTCCAGATCCTAAGTTAGGGGACACCTGTGAGTGGCTCAGGTGGTTAAGCATCTGCCTTTGGCTCAGGTCATGATCCCAGGGTCTGGGGATCAAGCCCCACACTGGGCTCCCTGCTAAGCAGGGAGCCTGCTTCTCTCTCTCCCTCTGCCTCCCGCCCCCCCACTCCAATTGTGCTCTCTGTATAAATAAATAAAATCTTAAAAAAGAAAAATCCCAAGTTAGTTGACTATTTAAATGCACATGGTTGGGCGCCTGGGTGGCTCAGTTGGTTAAGCGACTGCCTTCGGCTCAGGTCATGATCCTGGAGTCCTAGGATCGAGTCCCGCATCGGACTCCCTGCTCGGCAGGGAGTCTGCTTCTCCCTCTGACCCTCCCGACCCTCCCCCCTCTCATATGCTCTCTCTCTCAAATAAATAAATAAAATCTTTAAAAAAAAAAATAAATGCACATGGTTTCAGATCACCCCACCCTGAGCATCTCCCCACAGATTTGGAAATGGAGAGTTGACACACAGTGATATCCTCACCCTGGGGAGAGGAGGAGTGGGTAGGGGGATAGGGTGGGGTTTCCTCATTCCTGGTTTGAGGACCATACTGCTGGCCACCTCCATGAGTGAGCTTGCTTTCGTTTCATTTCTATCTGTGGAGTTGATATACCCACCGTATGCCAATAGTTTTCATATGTTAGGCTAATACAAATGGCCCACTGCCTGTAGGACATAGACTTCAAATTGTTTTTTGACCACTCCTGGAGGGTTTCATGGATTTATCCATCCTCCACCCAGTGCCCCCGGGACCTGTGCCCCACATTTGCTAATTAGTTGACAAAGATTTGTCTATAGCCTGTGGTTTAGGACCAGCAATCCTGTCTATTCTCTTTTAAGAGGGATATGATCAGTGACCTTGATTTTAAACTTGAAAACTTGGGGTGAAACTAGTGGGTGGTACAACTCACTACTCTTTTTATCATGTGGCAGCCCTCAGTTTCCATGATAATCCTCTTTCCAAACTCTACTGGTGATCATAAAATATAATGTATTTGAAGTAATTCTGGGGAGAATGGCCACCATTTGCACTGTGCTTCCTACGTGCGCGGAACTGTGTTAAGCATTTTCCATGTATCTTGTGACTTTATCCTCATGACATACCCATGAAGCAGATGCTGTTGGCTCTGATTTCCACGTAAGGGGACAGAGAGGCTAGATGATGCCCCCATTTGCCTGACTAATTGGAATGGGAACCAGATTTGAAGTCAGGACTCCCTGACTCCTGAACTTGAGCTGTCTCGGGTCCTATGCTTTCGGGTGTTATTTTGACACCTGCTGTGTAGTAATGTGATAACGATGCTGTTGTGTAGCCTTGCTTTTTAAGAAAGCTAGAATTCCTTATAAACAGTCTCATCGTTTCTTAGAGTAGTCTTTCCAGGTGTGGGTAACAAGCCCTGTATTTATCTCGCCATTGGGAAAACAGGACCAATGGTCGTATGCGTCACCCTTGATTAGGTGGCCTACTGAAGAAGACCTAGGAATTCTAGCTCTGCCTATGGGAGATGCTCGCTCTCATAAAAATAAATCATATTGCTCTTTGTGGTTGTTATTGTCTGGTTTTTATAAGCATCAAATAGGGTTTCAGATTATTCTTGCTGGAAAAGAGATGCCCTTAAAAATGCCAGTTCAGCAAATTATGAATCTGTTTCAGGAAACATGCTAGCCAATCAAAACAGTCACTGTAGATTAAGAAGAAAGTGCGATTTTAGTAGAACATTTTAAGGAAGTGCCTGTTAGAAACAATTTGGAAGAAATTTCTATTTGTTAGCGTGACCGAATCCCTAACCCATCTGGAACTCAAATATGGAACAGTAACAAATACCTCATCTGAGCCTGGAAGCTATTTCAGTCACATACTTGAAGCTTTGATTTTACGTGGAGTTTTGTAGGTTGAAAGCATGAATTCTGGAGTCACTTCACTAATAGGAAGCAAGCCATCTCTCTTCCTTCCCCACTGAGCTGAAATAAGAAAACTAGAGGCAGAATATACTAAATTGCAATTTAATGTCCTGCAGCTGGACAGGTGGGATGGTTTCATTTCATCTTAATTTCCCCGCCTTCTAAGATTCAGTGCTCTGTCTGGTACCCTACTGTTAAGTGGCTCGAAAATGTCCTCCATCATGTTCATCCTGGAAAAGCATATGGTGATGAAATAAACATGTAATCAAATTGTGAACCATCAGCTACAGATGAGATCACAAGGAAAAGGAATCTACTGTGGAACATTTTGATTGATAGTGTATAGAATCTTGATATTCAGGATCCTTGGGAGGGAGCATTTGGGGCTAATAAAAGTTAGTAGTGATTTACAAATATACTCAGATGAGGGAGGCAGCCCCCTCCACCCTCCCCACCCCACCCCCCCTGCCTAACCAGGGCAGTCATGGCAGTAAGGAAGGATGACCAACCTCAGTATTTAGGAGCCATCAGGAGTTGCCAGACAAAGAGACATCCATCCATTCATTATGCATTGCATGCTTTTAAGCACCCACAGTGTTCAAAATCCCAAGGGGGACACATATCACTAGGTCCTAGATCCATTCCTCAAGAACCTTAAAAGTTTCCTAAGTGAACTACAGCATGTGAACAAAGATGACATGAGCTAGCAAGTGACAAGAGCTAAAGAAGCAAGGTACAGATGACTATGAGAGTAAGAAAATGGAAAGATACCTCTTAGACCAGAAGAGGAAAAGCTGGGGAACTTCGATTACCCTTCAGTGCAAGGGTAATTTTTAATGACCCCCCTTGCAAGTTGTGTTAACCTCAGTTACATTTTGCTTGTTTTGCTGCATTTCGATGGTAACCAAACTCAGTCATGTTATAGTAGGTAGAGACCCATGAATGAGAACTAAATTCACGGAGCATTGAGTATATGCCAGGCATTATCCTAGGCCCAAGCTTATTATTTAATTGTAGTATATTACTCCCCTTTTCACAGATGAATAAATCAAGGCACAGGGAGCGTGAATAACTTGCCCAAAGAACGTAACTCAGTTAATAGGGTTTTCGTCTGCACTGCCTTCTGCTGTGTGCATTGTTCTCTGAGATTTGGAGGTGAGGGGAACTCTCAGAAATTGTGGGTTCATCATAGCCACTTCTGGCATGACGTAGGTGGTCATGCATTTACGAGATATGGGCATCCTACTCATCATGGGGGCAGTTATGCCCAAACTGACCAGTTTGGGGGAGTTCCCAAGGAGATTTAAGGAAGTACAGTATGGTGGTTATTCCAGAAAGGGCAGGTGTGCTATTAAGGTCATTGTTTGATCTCATCCATTATCAAAGCTTAACAGAGTGTTGATGTTTTCATAGGTGTAACACAGAGAGTGAGTGGTACCAAATCCATGAGAACATCATCAAGAAACTGAATGCACGTTACAATTTGACGGGCTCCAACGCAGGTGAGTGTGTGGGGCTGGCTGACTCTCCCTCTACTTTTCATTTCAGTCCTTTTATTTTACATATCTGTGTAAGAAGGAGATGAACTGCCCTTTGTTTTTCTCTGCATTTGCTTCGTAACTTTAAGTATGTGCAGCGAACAATCTGGTACGTCTCCCTGTGTTACGACAGGCTTGTAGCTATAACTCTTTTTAAAAAATGTCTTCTGTTCCAGTTTGAAACAAGGCAGAGTATCTGAATTTGTTCAATAATACCAAGTTGTGAGGCCTCTAAATTGTTTCCAGTTACTAAAACCCAAATGACAAATATGTTTGGGTTCCTGACTGTTGTGTGGAGTAGGTTTGATGGACAGAAATCCATCAGTGAGGTCCAAGAAAAACATGCTTCACTGCCTGTAGCTGGGAGCAGTGCTATATACTGGGAACATACATAGAGGTTCATGTGTTGAAACTGACTAGGAAGATGAATGATGTTGACTGCAGAGTCGCATACAGAAAAATGTAGGCACACTTGTTAAGGGAACTGAAATATATAGCATCATATGATATGTGGTACATATTCTTAACCTGGTAACTTCATAGATATTGCATTATATAGCATGTATAGTGACATCTTTGAGTTTGATCAGCGGACGAAACTGGGTGACTATTCTTTGCTCCCCGTCCCCCCTCCAAACCCATATTGAAGCAAAATAAACTATGTAGCTGTGTGGTTTCATTGACACACACACACAAAAAAAAACTTCAAATTTTAATCTATTTGAACTGAATGCGTTGTTTTTTAAGAGTAATTTTTAAAGTCACCTGAGTGTAGATATTTATGTTCTAGTCCAACCTGCCTGGTAATCCAGCAGAACAAGAGTGTAAACTCAAACCACCTTCTTTTCAGACCTGTGCCCATCTTACTAGGCCAAACTGACCCACAAAGAAAAAGTAACTGCAGACAGAAACTTTTGTGGTTCACTGAGAGCCCTAAGCATCCACAAGTCACACATGTGGCAGCATTCAGGTTGTAATGAGTGGTGAGGTCAGTTTCTCCTCCCTTTCCCAAGAGTTGGGGAGGGAACTTGGGTTTTAAATAATCCACACGAAGTCCTCCAGCTGCCACTAAATAAACAAGAGACTTGGAGCAGTTGAGGGCAGAATCCCTAAAGGATCGGGAAGAGATGGTAGTAGTAGAATACAACGTGAAGGGATAAAATACTTTATTTTCTTAAAAAGATTTTATTTATTTGAGAGAGAGCGCAAGCAGGGGGAGCATCAGGCAGAGGCAGAGAGAGAAGCAGACTCCCCGCTGAGCCACCCAGGCGTCCCAGAAGTGATAAGATACTTTAGAAACTGGGATGTAGACTTGTCTTCACTTTTTCTGTGGAAGAATGAAAATAGCACTAGTGTATGGACCAAAGGATTTAATTTAAATGTGCCCTCGGTAAGATGGCAGAGATACCACTTTTTTAACACTAATCTTGCCATATTCGTTGGTAGACTTCTAGCTAAATCCTGGTTAGTTTTGTTCAAAACCTTTCAGGAATTCATGATATCATGGACTATTTTTTATCATTAATTACCCTCTAACTCTTGCTGTCCAGTTCGTCGGGCACTAGCCACTTGAGCACCAGCTAGGAGGCTTACAGCACTGGAATCGAGGTGTGCTATAATTATAAAATGTATACTGGATTTCAAAAACTTGGTACTTTAAAGAAAATGTAAAATATCCCATTAATTTTGTATTGATTACATGTTGAAAGACAACATTGTGGAGATAATGGGTCAAATAAAATATGTTACTAAAATTAATTTTGTTTCTTTTTACTTTTTTAGCATGGCTACTAGAAAATTTTTAATTTCCTTGGTAGCTCCAATTGTATTTCTATTAGATAGTGCTGCCCTCGACTTGATTTAAAGGTTTTTTTCAAGGGCGCCTAGGTGGCTCAGTCAGTTAAGCATCCAACTCTTGATTTCATCTTAGGTCATGATCGTAGGATCATGAGATCAAACCGCATGTTGGGCTCCTTGCTCAGTGCGGAGAGTCTGCTTGAGATTCTCTCTCCCCCTGCACCTCCCTCCCTCACGTGCTCACTCATGCACGAGTGCTCTCTCTCTCTCATAAATAATCTTTAAGAAAAAAAAAAAAGTTTTTTTCATGCCTCTCCCCAGGAGTCCCACTATTCCTAATTTGGCTCCTATGTGAATAAACAAATGTAAAACTAACCCTGACCTTGTGATTTTTCTCATGCATTGCCTTCTCTCCTTATCATCACAGATGCAGTCTTGACTAAGCAGCATGTGTTTGCCTGCTCCAATCGATTTTTTTCCCCAACTCCTTATTGCCTCCGAAGTCCTCTTTCCATTATTCCTCTTGCAGAACAAAATTCCTCTGTTCTTGGATTGTTTGAATGTATCATTGTCCAGACTCTGATGTGATTCCCAGTTGCCTCTTGAATCACAGTGAAGGTCTCAGTGATAGGCTGTGATGTATACCTCCAGACAGATTCCTAACATAACAGATTCTATATCCTATGAGGTCAAGGTTCCAGTAAAGCCAAAGTACACATTTCTTTCTGCTTATAGATGAGAGTCATCTTATAGAGATTATAGCCTCTAAGAGCTTTGCCTGTGGAAATAGGATGTCCTAGGTTTGAATCAGTTTTACTGGGATAATAGTAATACAATCTTCTAAGTGTTATCGGGGCGGGGGGAGTGGAGCATATGCAAAGTGTGTAGTACAGCACTTGATACATATAAGTATCTATTCACTGTTAGCTATTATTGTTTACTCTCTTTGGAGCCATCATCTAGAATATTCTACCCCTTTCTTAAGTCAGTTTCATTTTCTGATAGTGGATCCTGACTTGACATCCTTAATGAAGACTTTGAGAATGACACCGTTGGATTATTGATAGGTTAGATCATTGAACCGGGCCTTCCTACTTCGTGTCTTCCATCTTGTCTTTCCTGATTTGATTGCTAATATCCCTTCCTAGATCTTTTTGATTTAATTGTTGTCATTGTGATTACATAGATTAACTCCAGGAAGGAAGGGCAGCACATTCTATTTCCTTAGGAAGTTCTCGGTGCTTATAGACATGCTCCCCATATTCCATGTGCTTTGTCAGTTTTATTGACCTATGGACTGCTTATCCTTGCTAGAACTCTGAGTGAGACTACCAGTAAGTGACATCTAAACCACCTTATTCCCTGAGTGCTCCCTGGTCTGTTTACCGCCATCATACTGAAATGAAAAACTACTTGCTGCCTCTTTGGAAAGAGTGAAAGGAGCCATCGTACTGTAGAGCCCTGCATGAAAGATTTCACTTTTGGCAGAATCCATCCTCCATTTTGCTGCCTACTGCGATACTTTGATTCCTAGGCAGCCAGCTTATATGTTCTTTATATTTGGCTTCTGCTGCAGAGCCCTGCCTGTTTTCCTGTTCTTATGACCACCCCTCTCCATACTTCTCCGTTTCAGCCTGAGCCTCAGCCAGCTGCCCGCTGCCAGCATCTGTCTGCTTTCCATTCTGGTTTTTCCACTGACGTTTCTACCCGTCAGTCTTGGTGGATCATTGTTCTATGTCACCTTGATCTATTCTCCTTCTTGTAGAAAGGCACTTGTAAGAACAGAAGAGAGATAGTCAGGAGCTATTTGGCTTTATTATTGGGAGGGAGGCCCTCTAATGCCTTACTTAAAAATAGTGGGGGAAGTGGGGTGCCTAGCTGGCTTAGAAGAGCGTGTAACTCTTGATCTCGGGCTCATGAGGTGGAGCCCCACTTTGGGTATAGAGGTTACTTAAAATCCTTAAAAACAAAACAGTGGGGAAAGCAAGGGTACACAAAATGGAAGTTGGAAATTGGGGTGCCTAATGTTCAAACTATCACAGTAGTTAGATCTGTTGACTTCCATTGTTTTCTCCTTGAACCATGGGATTGTTGATTAAATGGAAGCAGTGCAGTTGGATGTTTTCAAGAGAATTGAGTTCATTCAACAAAGTACTGTTTTTTCCTGCTTTCCTCCCACTATTCCTTGGTCACTGATACTTAAAAAATGAAAAAAAAAAGAATAAATTTGAATTAGTTTTGGGAACAAATTCTACCAGCTAATTTCCAGGTCCTTTATGCTTCATTGATGTCTTCCTATCTCTTGGAGTTGTAATTTTGTCTGTTTAATAGATGAGGGATTTGTCTAGTTAACTGGATTTTTTCCCGCCTCTAACCTAAAACTTATGTTGCAAAGGTACATTAACCACTACCTTTGAGTTTAGAAACTGGGAGAAAATTGCAAGTGATCCATTTAACTTTTAAAGATTAAAAAAATAATAATTGAATTAACATATCTCTCCGGTTAGATTTAGCTAGGTTGAGTAATTCGAGATTTCCACAGTTGTGCTCTGTGGGAATTTTAAAATCTAAAAGTAATATTGTAAGAATTTGAAATTCTAAAAATATTCATGACATGAGCCTGGCTTAGGTTTGTTGAGCAAATGGTTATTATAAACGTCACCTCCAATAGACATTAACAGTTGAATGCTAGGAATGTGAACTAAGACTGAGCCAGTGTGATTTACTGAAGCAAATTCACTTCTATGACTTAAAGTAAATTGTGTAAAAATCATTGGCTCTGGTTCAGTATGTCCTGAGAGAAGCATCAAAATCTTTTCATATTATCTGTGTATTTATGAAATCCTATTTCTTGCAGTTTGCACATGTAGTTTACAGCTAGAAGAAATCATATTGACTAATCAGGTCAATTTCTGCAATCTTTCCTTGCCTTCGCAAGATGAGCATACACGGTTGCATTCCTACCAACCGTACGTTTTAACCCCCGCAGAAAATTCAAAGGAATTACCTAGATGAGGAGCCCATGGATGCAGGGAGAACAGTTTAACTCCATACAGGAAGTGAACAGTGTTCTTTCTTTGGCTGAGGTGAAAGGAGGCTTTTGATGGTTAGATTGCATTTTGGGGTTGAACATCCTGCCCTTACAGTGCAGTGCAGTCATTTAATTCCGTACTATTGGACTGCTAGAATTCTTGAGGATTGTATCAATGCTCCTGATTTTTAAACATTGCATTTAGAAACTTTGCTTTCTAATATTGTTAAAAGAAGCTGGTACTTACTGGCACCATCTCTTGGCTAGAAAGGTGGGATGTGACCTTTTTGCTTACTTTTGAAATTCCCTAACTATTAAACCATGCTATCTTTTTTATTCTTTTAAAGCTTTTTGTTTTCAACTAAATTTACGTCCAGAACAGTTGCATGGGTAGTACACAGAATTCCTAATTTCTCAAAGGTTAACATTTTACTACGTTTGCTTTATCCTTCTCTCCATACTCACTTGTGCTCTTTCTCTCTCTATAATCATTTATAGCATTACTGAATTGGTGTAATTCTTAAGGTTGCTTCAGTGCTTCTAATGTTTATATATATGTGTATGTATATATATACAATATACATACAATACACACACACACACACAAATATATATACATATATCACACACACAGCACATACATTTTTCCCCCTGAACTGTTTGAGAACAAATTGCAGGCATGATTCCTCTCTACCTCTGCTTATTTCAGAACATGGCAACATAACCAAAGTACAATGATCAAAATCAGGACATTAACATTGATGAAATGCTCATATCTATAGATCTTACTCATATTTCGACAGGTTTCTCAATGTGCTTTATAACAAAAGAAACCCAGGCTCTATCACATGCAGTTGTAATATCTTTTAATTTTCCTTTAATCTAAACCATTCTCTTTTAATGACAGTGAGGAAAAAAGAGTTTCAAATATAGTATTAAACTATGCTTTAAGGTATTTTTAAAGCTTCATGCAGTATTTAAAAAAAACAAATTATAAACTAATGGAAGTAGTGATTAGAGCTTGATTTTTTCCTCCAAATTACTTATATTTTGCTAATTTAGCTAATTATTAGCAGTACTGTTTGGAAGATTTGGCATATAGAAAAAATTTGCAGGTTATAAAAGCAAGTATTTGAATTAATTAAAATAATTAGATGTTAAGTTATACTCACATACGGTATGTTCTCTGTACATTTTTAAAAAATAGTTTTCAGCCAGTGGCTTACTATGTGCTTTGTGTTTTGAAAAAATTACAAATCAATAATAATGACTATTATTATATACCAGTAAAAAACAAACACCTTTCTAACCTTGACAGAATCCTTATGTAAACCATTGGAATGCTGATATCCAAAATCATAATAGGGACATTTTAAGGTGAAAATTCTCCTCTGTTAAGGAGGAAATGTGAATTTCCTCTGAATGGTCTCATCTACTCCTACAATTACAGCTTCCGCTAGATGCCAGTGGGCCCCACTCCATCCCTCATTTCTGGTCAGTAAATTTCTTTTCTGGTTACGACTCACTGAAAGTAAACAGTTTCAGATGTCTCTTCTTTTAGCTTGATGTTCCATAACTTATGTATTCCTTCAATCTTATTTTTGCTGTAACTCTTAGCCATCGGCTAACCACTTCTTTAAAGAAAGCATTAAAGTCTTCCCAGAACTTTGAAATAGCAGATCTGTGGACTAGAAGTTATAATTACAAGAGTATTTGCACATACTTATCATACCTTCTACATGATAGGCCATAGGCATCCCAGTCGATAGGGTTACCTATTCAGAAATCTCAGGAAAATGATCTTCAGAAGGTAAACCTAGAGTCAGACCCTTTGATTATCCTCAGTGGTGTCAAAATCACATTTCCCCTACTAGTTAAGGTGATTTAAAGAAACAGTCAGCAATAGGCACATTCACAAAGTGAATAATACTGTTTGAAAGTCAGAAATAGAGGTGTGACTATTAAGAAAGGAGAGTGACTTTCTTTTACTTTATCTTTTTTTCTTTTTCTTTTCTTTTTTTCTTTCTATAAGTTGGCTTTGAAAGTACATCTGAAAGAAGAGATACATCCCCAAATTTGAGCATTGGCAACATTAATAATATAGTGTCTAGATTTTCTTTCAAGATGGAGACAGTGTTAAAGGACAGTTGTCGTTTGGGTCATCTGGTCCTGTTGGACAGAGGATTTAAGCAACTAGGCCTCTCCATCATGTAATTAACCATTCAGTAGGTTTCTAGTGGTGTCACAGCTTCCATTTTAGTTCTTTATCTAATCTGGCTCATTTTGACGCTCTAGTGTCTTCCTAGTACTTCTGACTTTTGCTTCATTGACTCATTTTCCAACAGTGCTATCTCACTTGACAGTGCTCCTGCTAGACATTTGGCTTCCTTTCTTTCCTCCTCTATGAGATCCTGTCTCTGACATCTCTTCATATATACCTCCCTTAATCCCACCAGGGTTTTACTACTTGATGCAGCCAGGATCTACTCCTGAAAGTTCTCTCTGGCTTTGAGTTGGACCCATATTAGATAAATGCTTCTAGTGTATTTATTTTAAAAGCACATTTTACTGAAGATGATTTTATGAAAGAATCTAATAATACCATCTTTTGCAAGTTTTGCTGCTACCTCATGATGTTAGTGATTTTGTACTTCAAGTTTAGAAGTCCTAGCAATTATGTTTTACGCTTAGCCCCTACCTCCCAAACACAAAGTATGCAAATACTCTCAGGAAATAGTGTTTTTAGGGGTACCTGGGTGGCTCGGTCAGTTAAGTGTCCAACTCTTGGTTTTGGCTCAGGTCATGATCTCATGGCTCATGAGATTGAGCCCCACGTCAGTCTCCGTACTCAGCAGAGATTCTGCTTGAAGATTCTGTCCCTCTGCCCTTCCCCCACCTGCTCTCTCTCTAAAATAAATAAATCTTTAAAAAAAAGAGAAGGAAATAGTGTTTTTAGAGTTTTACTGCAGAAGAGCAGCCTGAGAAGCTGCATAGATACACTCCAAACTGAAAGAGCTATAACTGGTAAAGATCGTATACTTAAATAAGATCTGAACATTTTTCTAAGAGCATACAGCATATAAAGAGATACTTATTCAAGAGTCAGACTAAATCTTGATAAGAGTAGAGAGAGCTGGTGACTCCTGTGCCGCAGCCCACTTGCTCCTTCCCACCTGCCCCTGCTCCGTATGATGGATATTCTTTTGCAGGCACATGTGACCAAGAAGGTGGGACTCCTTCTTCCCTGAGCTCTCAGTCATGGGATACCATGTCTGATTTAAGAGGTAAAGACTCCCAGCATTTTTCATCTCCCTTAGCTCTGAGTTGCAGAGGCTACATTTCTGGCAATAGTGGCTGAGAGGTAGGGGGTCTCCCTTCTTCTACCCTACCCACACTCATAGGACAGTGGCTCTCCCTGAGATGCAGCAGGCCAGGAATATTGGAGCATCGATTGCCCTTGCCCCAGCTTGCTCATTGGATGGAGGTGCCACACAAAGAGAGGCAATTGAAAAAACCAGAGATTACTGCCCCAGCCTAGTACCTTGCCCATGAGGCAGATGTGTCACTCTAAAGAATGGACCACTGTATCCACCTCCAGCTCTGGAGCAGTGGATCAAAGATATGTCCCGGGGGTGGGGGTGGGGGGGAGGAGAGGCAGTTCATAAGGAGAGAAAATTCAAAAGCTGTCCTGAAAGGAAATGACTTTATTCAAAACAGAGTATGGGGAAATTTAAGCCTGTGGGAATTGTTGAAAGTGGAGACTTTGGAAAAGTGGTTTTGTTTGTTTGTTTGTTTGTTTTGTTTTGTTTTTTAAAGATTTTATTTATTTATTTGACAAAGAGAGACATAGCGAGGAGAGAACACAAGCAGGGGGAGTGGGAGAGGGAGAAGCAGGCTTCCCGCCGAGCAGGGAGACCGATGCGGGGCTCGATCCCAGGACCCTGGGATCATGACCTGAGCCGAAGGCAGACGCTTAACGACTGCACCACCCAGGCGCCCCTGTTTTTTTTTTTTTTTTTTTTTAAAGAATGAGGAAAAATGAACAGAACCTCAGAAAAATGTACCATCAAGTGAACCAACATATACAAAACGGGAGTACCAGAAGGAGAGGAGAGAAAGAAAAGAGTAGGAAAAATATTTGGAGACATACTGGCAGAAAACTTCCCAAATTTGATGGAAAACATTAATCTGTACATCCAAGGAGCCCAGTGACTTCAAGTATGGTAAGCAGGAAGAGATCCATACCCAAACACATCATAGTAAAAATGCTGAAAGTCAAAGAATTTTTAAAGCAGCAAGAGAAAAATTACTCATCATACACAGGGGAACCCCCAGGAAATAACTACCTGACTTCTCATAAAATAGAGTGGAGGTCAGAAGGCTGTGATGACATAATCAAGGTGCTGAACGTTTTAAAAAACAAAAAACAAAAAAAAACCCCACCAAAGTGTCAATCAAGAATCTTCTATCCAGCAAAAAAAAAAAAAAAAAAAAAAAAACTATCTTTCAAAATTCTAGGCAAAATAAAGACAAGCAAAAAACAAAGAATTTTTTGCTAACAAATCTGCTTTGCAAGAAGTACTAAAGTTCTTTAGGCTGAAAGCAGGTGACCCAGACCATAATTTAAATCCTTATGAAAAATAACACAACTAGGGACGCCTGGGTTGCTCAGTTGGTTAAGCGTCTGCCTTCGGTTCAGGTCATGATCCCAGGGTCCTGAGATTGAGTCCCACAGCGGGCTGTCTGCTCAGCAGGGAGCCTGCTTCTCCCTCTGCCTGTCACTCCCCCTTCTTATGCTCTCTCTCTCCCTCCCTCTGATGAATAAATAAAATCTTACAAAAAACTAAAATAACACCACTAAAGGTCAATTATGCATCTATAAAAGGCAGTATAGATGGCTGTTTCTTCTTTGTTTTCTTAACTAAACTCAGTACACAGCCACATTTTCTGCAGTTTCTCAGGTCAGACACTCACGAGACTTCCATGATTCCTTGTTTTCCTTCATTCCCCCACATCTAATATTCCGTAAAGACATGACTTCTTGTATGCCTATATGTAGCTTTTTTACCACTTTTTCCCATCTCTGTTGTAACCGTATCAACATGGCCTCCATTATTTCCTGCCTTCATATCTCTCGTATCCTTTAATTGTGCTCATCAGTTCCACTCTTTATCTAGCCAGTCCCATTTGCCAGGTAACACTAAGAAAACTTTCATAAAACACAAATTGGATTGTGTTTCCTTTATTTAAAATTCTCCAGTGACTTATTGTTTTGTTTAGAATAAGAGTAATTAATTATGGCCTCCATGAGTCCTGTTTATTTTTCTGGCTTCCCCTGTGCAATTAGGAATTTTCCCATCTTCACATATGTCTGTTTGTGCACATTGCCTACTTATATTTATCACTTATATCTTTGTCAAATCTCCAGTAATTGAGTATTGCTCATGATAGACAGATTTGCCTCCACAGCCTCCTAGAACTTTATCGTTCAAATATCCAGGAGATTTGCAATACTTGGCTTAATCTGGTGGTAAGTGGGCGTGCCTATTGAAAGGAATATTGTTGAACATTTTTTTGATGGAAGGTAATTTGTTGATATTCATGGTAGGGAGGAATAAGAACAGGAACAATGATATTATATAATAATAGTAGGGGCAGTGGTAGTTGTAGTAATAGCAGTCAACACCGTTGAACCCTTCCTTTGTGCTAGATGTCACCCACCCAAAGTGTTTTATGGAGTTGGTATCATTATTATCTTGATTTTACAGATGTGGAAACCAGGGCACACAGAGAAGTTAACATTTGATAGGGTCGTGAAGCTGTATGTTATACTTCTTAACGTGCACTTAACGTGCACACTTCATCACAACATGTATTTATCAAATATTTTTGTTATTTTTTATTTCTGCATTGCTGTACATTCACAGCTACATCTTATTTGGTTCATTGGTGGCAAAATGGCTGATCTAGTCTAAAATTAATTTTTCCTGCTACTTATAAATCATGCTGTGCTTGGTATTTTTTATATAAAAGTGCAGAATTTCATGAATTTAAGAGGAGCCATCTTATGGAGTGAGTTAACTTCAGTTCCTATGAAATTGAAACTACCAAATAATCAACCATATTTGATTTAACAGATACGAAGCCTTTCTTTCCTATACTATTGCTCTGTAGGTGGAGCTTCATCGTGAAAAATACATTACTTTGTGACAGTCTCTAGATTAATTAATGTCTATGCTTTGTTTAAAGCTAGATATGAAATCATTGTAATTGGCTCTTAAACATCTAGGCAGATAAAAATGTTCAGTTTAATGATTGCTTCTTTTAAAAAGAGGAACAGTTCTCCCTTAGCAGTTTCATTTTTGGTCCTTAGATTAAGGACTGAGAAAAAGTGATTGTAAAACATGATTGATATATTTTGTGAAATTAAAAATCTAACCTAATTCTTCAGCTTATTGGTTGTCATAAATTCCTGTTTTTTTCCAAAAAAAATCTTCCCTGAACTTTCAAATTCCCTCAGTGTAAAAATAAAATTTTATTTTTTTAAATTAAACACTTTTTGAGTATAGTTGATATACCACATTATATTAGTTTCAGGTGTACAACACATAAAATTTTAGTTAGAAGTCCCAGCCCCAGAGATAGCAGGTAAGGTGAGGACAGAGAAGTCGGCTGACAAGGAAAGGAATAGAAACAAAAATACTGCTCTGTGAACATACCCTGTGTCATAAATGACCATTCCTGAAAGGATAGGGCTAATCCTCAGTTAATTGGAATGGGTAAGTGTTTGATGAGTCTCTCCTTTGTAGTGATGAGTAGTTTCCCCATCTTAATGCATTATTTCTTGTTCTGGTGACTGTTTTACTCAACGTGTTGGTTTTTGTCATGGTAATTAAGGGCCACAATAAAAATAGGATCAGGAGTTTCCTTGATTGAAAAATAAGTAGTATTACAATGGCTCTTTGTGGGTTAGTGCCTGTGGACTCACACTATATCATGTTTTTTCTTTGTTTTATTTGAAAGTACACCACTCTTGGGGCGCCTGGGTGGCTCAGTCTTTAAGCATCTGCCTTCGGCTCAGGTCATGATCCCAGGGTCCTGGGATCGAGTCCCGCATCGGGCTCCCTGCTCTGCGGGAAGCCTGCTTCTCCCTCTCCCACTCCCCTGCTTATGTTCCCTCTCTCGCTTTGTCTCTCTCTGTCAAATAAATAAATAAAATCTTCAAAAAAAAAAGAAAAGAAAAAGTACACCACTCTTGAATGTTGCATGTTGAGAGTTGTGGGAGGTTTTTCTTTTTCTTTCTTTCTTTTTCTATTTTTTTTTAAATGGAAACTGAGTTGATAATTTAGGAAGAGCCAAGTAAACTGTGGTGAAGCCCTCAGTTCAGTTGGCCTTTCCAATTCTTGACTATCTGTGAGCTCTTTAGTTTGAAGAAATTGAGTTACCTCAAAATGGCAGTACCTTTTCCTCTCCTCCAAATTGGTATCACTCAGCAAGACAAATGAAATCATTACACCTAGGGCTTTAATCTATATCTTCAAAACCTCCAGAATGAAAACTGCCGAACCTGCTAACCAAATTTTAGGATACATTCAACTCTTAAATGCAATGTTCCCCCCCTCAATAGTATGTTGTCTGATATCCCCCTGTCATTTCCTCATTTCCTTCACTTATCTACTAGCTGGCTCCTCCCTGTTTTCCCCTAATTGGGTCCTCTCTATCGTTTTGCATTCTCTAATCTCTATGGCACTTACTGTTTAGAGTACATTGATGTATTTCTCTTTTCGTGTTTACATATATCCTTCCCTAACATATTATTTTTCTATCTTGGATTTTCTTAAGCACTGTCTCTGACTGAATGCTTTTCTTTTTTCATTATCTTATCCTTCGTTAGGTATTCAGCTTACGTTTAAAAAAAAAAAAAAATCACTAATGGGTAAATGAATTCTGGCTCCGATAGGGCAAAACCAGAATACTAGTCACTTTACCTTCTTCCAGCTCCTACCCCTAATAGCATGATGTCTTTGCTTTTCATTTACTTTTCAGTTCTTTTCTTCCTTTACACATGCTACATAATGTTGCCAGTGTCTCTGATCAGATCCTTTGACGAGAAGTCCTAGTAAATTGATCTTCACTTGCAAAAGAATTTACAGGACCTCATGAATTTTGTTAAATCCATCTGATTCTCTATTTGAAAGCATTGTTTCTGGTACCCCAGATTTGAACAGTGTTCTTCCCAGCAGGAGGGACTGTTCTTATGTAGCGTGTCTGGCACACGAAGCTATTCTACAAATATCAGCTCCTGATGATGTTAATGGTGATGGTGATGGTGTGGGTGAGTATTTTGAAGGCAAAAGGACAGAAGTGGGAAGAGAACAGAAACACCAGTAATGAGGTGGGGGTAGTGGGAGAGCGTGAGTCAGGAAGAAATAGCTGCTGGGACAGATGGATTATAACACATGTTAGTTTGTCTTCATCCTCCTGCTTCTGGGTTTTAAAAGGAACCAATAGCACCGCATAAAAGTATCCCAAAGCTGCATTGACTGTTTCACCGTCAAACCATCCAGACCACCCATACTCCCCTCTGTCATTCCTTGTGGGTATCGGGGGACAGATGCACCTCCATTCTGTTGCCTTCAGTCACCCAACTCAAATGGAGTGGCGGCAGGGAGGGGGATGAAGGATAGGTAGGTAAAAATGGACTGAACATTTAATTAAAGTTCCTGAGTACTTGCCAGATTTAACCTAACCTAAATTCTCTTGGACCCACACACCAAAAAGTATGAGGACATAATGATGCAGTCCTGTCCTGTCCTTCACTTCTTTAGTCTTTGACCTTTGGGTATGCCCCATCTAGGTCAGATTTGAGCCCCAGGAAAGGCTCCACCTTCTCTCTGAGCCTATTGCTTCTTTTTTTTTTTTTCAAACAAATTTTCCTGATGTTTTAACCACTTCATTGAAAACCAAGCAAACAAACAAGACACTGTTTTTGTTGTTGTTTGTTCATACTGTTGAGGGAGAATGAAAGGAAGATCCTTATGTAGATGTGTGTTAAATAATCTTTGCATTTCTTTTTTATTCAAGCATGATTGTTGTCATTCTTATGGTTCATGTTTGAGATAGCATTGTAGTACAATAAATTATGAATGGGGAATGATAACTTTCATATGGTAAGTAATGATATAGATTGAGAATCTTTGGAGCAAAGATTTATCATCCTCTTGAGTCCACCATCCAAATACATTTTAAAATTGAGTTCATACTAGGTATTTACTCAAAGGGTACAGAAATACAGATTCGAAGGAATGCATGCACCCGATGTTTATAGCAGCATTATCAATAATACCCAAACTATGGAAAGACCCCAAATGTCCATTGACTGATAAATGGGTAAAGAAGATGTTGTATATTGATACACAATGAATATTCCTCAGCCATCAAAGAGAATGAAATCTTGCCATTTGCAATGACATGGATGGAGCTAGAGCGTATTATGCTGAGTGAAATAAGTCAGAGAAAGACAAATACCGTGATCTTGCTCATGTGTGGAGTTTAAGAAAGAAAACAGATGAACATATGGGAAGGGGAAAAAGAAAAAAAGGAGAGAGGGAAACAAGCCAGAAAAGACTCTTAATGATAGAGAACAAACTGAAGGTTGATGGAGGTGGGGGGGGTGGGGGGGTGGGGGATGGGCTAGATGAGTGATGGGGATTAAGTAGGGCAGTTGTGATGAGCCCTGGGTGTTATATGTAAGTGATGAACCCCTGAATTCTACTCCAGAAACCAATATTGCACTGTATGTTAACCACCTAAAATTTAAATTAAAAACAAATAAAATAAATAAGAAAAAAAATTGAGTTCAGTTTAATGATGACTGGAAGTTTTAAAAATAAGTCCGCTTTGATCGGCTTCATTTTCTATCGCTAATGTAAGTAATGGACTTTTTTCCGTTCCTTTTTGTTGTTGTTGTTCTTTCTTGTTTAAATAATAGAAGAAAAACAAGAGGGAATTAAAAAGCAGAAAGAGAAGTAGCATCTCAGAAATATACAAGCATAGTCACAAGATGGCATTAATTTCCTTTCTGCAGTTCTTGCCTGAGATTTGGGGGGGAAAGATAGGAAAAATGTACACTCTAGTAATGTCACTATAATTGGGGTTAAAAAAAAGATAATTTTACTAAATACCCTCCTATTTGTCAAAATGGCCTGTATCCTGCTAAATTCTTCTCAGTAGAAAATAATGCCATTAGGAGTTTCTAATGCACATAGTATTAATAGAATCTTGGTTTTGTTATAATCACCTTTGTTACTTAAGTTTTGATTTATTTATTTATTTATCTGAGAGACAAGAGAGGGCGTGCATGAGCAGGAGGAAGGGCAGAGAGAGAGAGAGAGAGAGAGAGAGCGAGAAAATCCCAAGCCGAGCATGGAGCCCTACACAGGGCTCAATGCCACAACCCTGAGATCACGACCTGAGCCAAAACCAAGAATGGACACTTAACCCAGCCAGGTGCCCCTTTTGCATAAGTCTTAAGAAAATGTCTAAGAATATCCCTAAAATCCTTGAATTATTATATGACTTTATATTTCTGTCTACCTTTATGGTGTTTAGTAAGTATTCATAGGTCTAATAGAGTTCAAGGAACTCTAGGGCCAGGTAGCCATCGACCGTTGCTGGCATGAATGTCTGTGCAGGGACATCTCCGTCTGGCGGGGGAGGGGCTGGAGAAGAGGGTGTAGGGGCTAGAAACCAGACTTCCTCTTTTTAGTGTTCTGCTCAAGTTTTGTTCACTTGCTATGAACCTCCTTAAACACGGGAACACTCAGTCAAGTTGGAAAAATGTTTTCTAGAAACTATTCCTATAGATTGTTTGGATTTTTGTCTGCATAGTAACCTTTCATTTAAAACAATGCTATTATAGTTGTTGGCTTGTTGAAGCAAGTTCAGATTTCCATTCATGCTATTTCTGTCCTTCTATTTTTTACTCTGGTATCTCTCATTTATTTTAGGTTTAGCAGTTTCCCTACAGCTATTACATGGAGATATTGAACAAATCAGAAGAGAATACTCATCAGTATTTTCTCACGGAGTGTCTATAACGAGGAAGTTGGGTTTTTCTAATATTATTATGCCTGGTAAGTGACTTGGGATGAACCAAAGGTTGATGACATATGGGTATTATGTCTATTTTTGACACTTGAGAAATTTTCCAAATTGTCAGGTTTGAAGAGTTCAAATGGACCATGCTAAAGAAGGAAATGAGTATATGATAATAAATAAGCAAAAGTGTCTTAAAAATATCTTTACATTTTGATTATAATAGGTGGGTAACTTGGAGGGCCATGCTGCTTTCTTTATGACCATGATAAGAAGGGAAACTGGGGTAGGATCCAGAAAATATTTTACCCTTTGATGGAAAATGTTGGTGAAGTCACTTAGGGGAAATCCTTACAGGTTTTGATAAGAATAATTATTGAGCAGCAGTTCACCCTTCTTGGAGGATTTTTCTATCCAAGATATGTATATGTAAATAAGCAGCCATATGCAAATACCATATGTATTTCTACACCCTTCCTAGTTCTGTTTGAGATCTATTCACATCTCTTTTCGCAACCTAAAAGGACTCAAAAAAAGTGACTGTTTCTAAGTGGGGAAGGTGGCAGTTCATGAGAATCACACTGTTCAAGTAAATGCCAGGTAGTAGCATTTCTCAGTGCCCCACATCCCTCCCTCTACAACCAAGAGAAAAGTAGACCAACTGAAATACTCTGAAATTGTGAACAGTATTTTTAGAAACGAGATCATGTAAATCTCTGTTTAAATCCCGTGTGTGAAAGCAAGCGCGGGAAGTTGCATCTGACAAGGCTCCCCGCACAGGTGTGGGAGGGATGGTAAGACCGCTGCGGATAAAGACCTAATGGGATGCAGAAAGTGACCAGCATTGCCCTGTTGCAGCATCTCGGGATCTTTTTATGCAAATCTGTTTGTGCAGGGAGGGCTCAGGGAGAGCCTAGAAATTTCCTGAGATGACCTGACCTGACTTGGGTGCCCGCTCTGCCTGAGCATCTAATGCTACTGTTGTTGAAAATGACTGTTTATAGAACTGTTTACTTGGTGGCCTGTTACTCAGCGACTCTCGCACCCCTTCATTATTTCCTTCAGTTGCTATAAATAACTGGTATTTCCTTTGTAACAAAAAAAGAAAAAATTTCATGCCACTGGGAAGCAAACTGATGGGCAAATCTAATATAAAAAACATATTTCCAAACAGAATGCAGACAGCTGCTGGAAGAATTCCTCAGCTTGGTCTCAGGGCAGTATCATTGAGAAGTGGAAAAACATAAAGCCACATGACACTTCACCAGCTGAATAATTGTCTGGGATGTGCTGTTCTCATGCCACTTCTGTCTGGCTTTAATGATGGAAATGAACTTTGTGTGGAAGAAGGCTTGCATCTGTCATCCCCCCCCTCCCCACCCCGCTGCACCACATTATAGTGGCGAGGTTCGCCCTGCCCAGGAAATCAGTCCTCCCGGACACAAGTCCGCAGTGCCGGGGATGCCAAGAGATTATTTTAAAGCTCTTGCTTCTTTTTCTCTTCTCCTTTTTCTTGTGTGGCTTCTTAATCTTCCAAATTAGAGGAAGAAGGGAAAGACATGTGTATTTACATAAACAGCTGAAAGCAACTTTAAAACTCAGTGGAATTTTTTTCCGTTGGCAAACATACTTTCATTGTTCTGTTTCCCTTTATTTTCAGAATGTTGACTTGTCAGTTAATTCTCACTGGTGGCTCTAATGAAAACTTGAGCGGAATTCTTCAATGAGAAAATGTATGGGCACAACATTTCTGAGGCCAGTGTTGCCCTGACCGTCTGCTGGCATGGTTTTTTATTTTCTTTTCACTTTCTAGACTCATCCTTCAGAGTTGATTTGTGTTCTGATAGGGGTCGGGACAGGTGAGGGTCGTGCTTGGACCAAGGGGACAGGTTCATCAACACAGCTGCCACGTCCCTGTAGAAGGAGTTATCGGTGGTCTTGACACTGACAGGACCACACACAAAACTCCTGTTGAGCATCATAGCATGTAATCTGTGCCAGACTCTTTTTGGAATGGGAAAAACACAGAAACAGAAACTCTCCCCTTGGTCTGGCAGCTGTAGGGGCACGTGTCTGAGATGTCACCTAGTGTGAGGAGGTGATCTGGCCACATGCTTTCCAGCTACCATGACCCTTCCCTGTTGTTAAGGGTCAGTCATCCAGCACTTTGTTTCTTAGAGTGCCTAATTTTCAAAGAGGATAAGTCACTTTGTGTGAAGCTCCATCACTGCTACCTACAAACCACATAACTCTGCCAAAAGTTCCATCGTCTGCTCTCTGAACCCATGATGGGGAGGGCAACAAAAATATTTCAATCCATACTCTCCGGTAGAAATGTAATGAGAGCACAAATGTAATTTTAACTTTTCTAGTGGCCACTTTCAAAAGAGTGAGAAGAAAGAGTTGAGATTAATTTTAATAATGTATTTTATTTAACCCACTACATCCAAAATGGTATCATTTCAGTAGATAATTCATGTAAAAAATTCTTAATGAGTTATTGTACACGCTCTTTTTTCACCTCCATCCTTGAAGGATGGGGAGTGTTGTCCATTTACAGCACGTCTCTTTTCAGCCAAGTCCCATTTCAGGTACTCCCTTGCCACATGTGGTTACGGTATTGGACAGCCTGCCTCTAAATGTCTTAACAGACCGTACTAAATATCGGGAAGCACGAAGTTTCCATCCACCAGACATTTTGGAGCAAAGCTGGCTGATATGTCCGGAATGTCATGGGAGGTCAGGCTGAGCCCTCTCCCACCTTGAAGGTCCATTCTTATTCTGACTTTAGGGTTCTTTCTAGGCAAAATGCTCTTTGCTTTAATCATTGCCTCCCTACTTTATCTTCTCCATTTGTCCCCTGTTCCCTTGGAGGCTTGTTCCCATGTATCAACTGGTCAAACTGTCATTCTTTCTTAGGAAACCCCTAATTAATTCCTTCCGGTACATTCAGTCAGTCTTTCCTAGGAGGCCTGTGAAGCTCCTAACCCTGAAAGGAATGAAGTAAAAGTTGTGGAGTGTTGGAGGAGGGAGGGGTTGAGATTTGGAGTCTAGAGGCTCACGCTGAAAACAGTCAGCAGAGCCCATGTTTCATGTGGCTGCCCGTGGAAGTAGCTTTGACAGTGTTCTCAAGATTTACTTAAGTTTATTCTTCAAGCGTCATTCAGAGCAAGCCTCTTTTTTCTTTGGTTGTTAGGTGATGGTTCACATAAGTCAAATTTCTCTGTGGTCAAAGTTGACTAGATAATGATTTACAGGCTAGGGTAAGAGAAATGTACATATGTTTGTCTCATGTTTAAGAAGATATGCAGTTTTTTTCTTTTAAGTATATTATTATTCTTTATCAGTCACTGACAGAGACATGCATATCAGCAGATGGAATTGCCTGAGATAAGCCGCCTGTGGGTGAAAGCAGGTGGGAGCCAGTATGATATGATTTGATCTTCCTTAAAAATACATCCTAAATCAAATCTCACCACCCCTCAAGTCCAAGTCACTGGGCCTCCACGTCATATACGTGCAACCACTTGGCTGAGACCTGAACCCCACGGTCATGCTAGGGGAGGGGGTCATGGTCTTTCAACCAATGAATACCGCAGTGATCCGAGAGAGGTGGAGGCTAAAGATCTTCCATGTTATGATGAGGTGGGATTTCAGCCCAAAATCAGAATGGGGGAGGGGCTCGTGCCTCCAAAATGTTGAAGTTACAGGCCCCATTACTCAAGGGTGTAGGACTTTCCCCAGAAGTCTGTGCCTCATCCTGGAGTGTGATGGACATCAGAGAGCCAATGCCCATCCCTACTCCTGTCTTGACACAACACTGTTCTGGCCAGCCTATCATGGGTGCCATTGTAGCGTTTGCCATTGTTTGCTTAAGAAGCATAAGCAAAAATTAAAAAGCTATGCCCCCAAAAAGTTCAATATCTCATAATACTCTCCTAAAATAAAGCAAAACAAAAATGAGAATAACAGAAAAAAAAGCAGAGAAAACATTTCACAGAAGTGCACTCTATGTGAGAACTCCAAAGTTCAGTTTCAGCCCACCCATAAATGTTTCCTTTCTGTGGTCTGCTTTGATTTCCAGTTACCTGTGGTCTGTCCCTGTCCCTCCCCCCACTCATGAACGTATCATGAAGTGATAGAATCTTGGGTATGGATGGCATATTGTATTAGCTTCTTAAAGCTGCTGTTACAGATCACTACAGATGGGATGGCTGAAAACACCACAAGAATACTATCTTCCAGTTCTGGAGATCAAAAACGTATACAGGTCTTACTGGGCTAAAAGCAAGCCCTATCAACGGGGCTGCATTTTTTCTGATGACTCTAAGAGAAAATTCAGTTCCTTGCCTTATCCAGCTTCTAGAGACTGCCCGCACTCATTGGCTCACGGCCCCACATCATTCCAATGTCTGCTTTCCTCATCACATCCTTTTCTCTGATTCTGGCCCTCCTGCCTCCCTCTCCCGCCTTGTAATTATATTGAACCGATCCTGATAATCCAAGAAAATCTCCCCATCTCAAGATCCTTACTTAATTAATCATAGCCACAAAGTCCCTTTTGCTGTGTAAGGTAACATGTTCACAGGTTCCCAGGATTCGGACCTGGACATCTTTTGGGAGTACAGGGGGTGTCCTTCTTCTGCCTGCCGCGCACATGAAGGGCCATGCAGCCCAGCCTCTCTGGCCAGTGCATGAATTTCTTCCTCAGGCTCCTGGTGATGGTTTTCTGGCACCTACTTGAATATTGGTAATGACCAAGAACACATCACATCTCAGAATGACCTCTGCCAAGTTTCTCTCCACCTTCTATCCATTGGGTTGAGCTTTTCTGCTTGAAAGCTCAGCGTTTTTAAATTCAGTTAACTCTCTTGCCACTCTCATTCCTCCTCTGATGAGTTCTGAGTCCTTTCCCCGTATTATTTACGATCTGGATGATACTGCTCATGTGTGTCCTGGTCCAGTAAAGATGGTCTCTAGAACTAAAATCAGTACTTCAAGCCTGGGCCAACCAGTACAGAAGAGAGAAGGACTCATACCTTCCTTGCTCAAGGCACTGATGTGAAGAAAGCCGAATTGCACTAGCTTATTTGATGGCCATTCTCACCCTGTTGAATTACATTTTTTCATACTAAAAAAATGTGATTTTATTTTAATATAAGCTGATAATATGTTGGACACATTTCTTAATCTCTACAAATCTGTTTTATTATCAATAAAGTGAAAATACTAGGGCCTTCTTCAAACTTCGACGTGAGAATTTAATGAGCTGTTGTCTTTATAGTGCCAGGCAAAGTCCCTAACTACCATCTATCTGCTACTACTGTCATCATCATTAGCATAATTTAAGTTCTTAGTCTTAGACATATGTTGATTTGTTTTTGACTAAGGGACAGAAACTCTTTTTTTTTCCAATTCCATAAATATTAACAAATACCCAGCACAGATTAAGACACTTGATTAGCCCATGGCTGAGTGCAGTGGTTTGCTTGATGTGCTGAGCTTGCTCTCTATGGCTTTATCCAAGGAGTTCATAGCACAGAATCAAAGATCATGGTTTTCAGCTACTGATGGAAACCTCTTGGCTACTGAGGTCAAGCCATAAATTGACCCCATTTGACTGCAGTCGCTGAACTCTTTTGAATTTGTTCCCATTGTTGTGACTTACGTTTTTTTCTGTCTACAGTGATATTTTCAGAAGCCTTCACATGTGCAAAGCCAGTGGGCCTGCTGAACAGAAGAAAGTGTTATGCACATCAAATTTACAGAGTATTAAATCTGAGAGGTGCAAGGTGTTAATAAACCTTGTCAGGAAAATAGCTTTTCACACTAGCGCTATGACTCCATTTCATACCCACTTTATGGTTTCTCTCTTAATTACCCAAGATGCTTTCTTAACACCATTTGGGCTTATTAGTTTTCTCCAGAGCTGACCTCAAGTGTATTGATTTTAATTAGCACATATTTCAACTTTATCCTGCTGCATATTTTGGCAAGATGCGATACCTTGTGGTATTGGAACATAGCAAGCTGCAAAATTCCTAGGGAGACATATGTAGAATATCACCCAGGAGAAATGTTCTCCTTGTCGTGTATTCTCTTTTCAGAGAAATCTTACTTGAGTCTAAAAGGTTTGCAAGAGAGAAAGGGGTTGCAGGGATAGTGTCCGTTAAAGACCAGAAAAGGAAAGCGTGTGCATAAGGGACTCTTATTATGAATATGTATATTTCAGAAGTTCTTCTCTAAGTCACAGACACAGCGTAACATGACAAAGTAGTCTTGTCCCTCCTACCATCTCTCTTACCCCTGCCTCTGTCTTTACCCCACCTCCATTTTAATAACACAGAAACGTGAGGCCTGGAGGTTTATATTACCCTGTCTAGACTCTTATCACACAGTGCAGACAGTAGAGAGAGAGAGAGACTTGAATCCAGATCTTTTATTCCAGTCGTGCTGTAACTCTATATCCTTTAGGCTTATTTGAACTCACAATCTCTTCTGAATTCAGAAGAGATAGGAGAGTCCAGCTATGGTGTGAGCGAAACAGGCTTTGTGGATTGATTCGGGAAGCTAATGCCATTTTCAGCCTTGCTCCTTGATCAAAATATATTCTACCTTCCTCAGATCTCTCATCTCCTCCGTGAGGTCTTTTCTCATATAACACCCCCTCGGCCCCCATCCGGCAATCTCTCTGCCCGTTCTCAGTCTTACTTTTATCCCAGCACTTCCTATTATTATTCAACATGCTATATATTTGACTTTTTTATTAAAGACCTCCCCGTTCCTAGAATCTCAGCTCTGTGGGAAAAGGATTTTTGCTTTGCTTTGTTCACAGCGGGGTCTACATGGTCTACCTGGCCTAGAATAGTATCTGGCACATAGTGGGTGCTCAAAATATATTTGTGGCATGACCACATGGAGACAGAATTTCCCAGCACATTTCTCCCCACTGCCCCTCTTCCTCCTTCAGGCCTGGCCTACAGCCTGGGCAAAACTGGTCAGCTTGCAAGCCTCCCTCATCCCCTCTTGCCTTTGCTAAAGTCAGAGTTGCCATTCCTTCCGGCAGATGAGAGTGGAAAGCCCCTCCCCAAGAAACACTCCTCATTCTGCAGGACAATTAATCCCCATGTGGTTTGGACTAGCTAATGACTCATTATGAGAACTTCCTAAGGTAGAAACCCCTGTAGCTACACTTCCCATTAATCAGTGTATGTTGTGGTCTATTTGTAAGCAGAACTACTCATTATGTGTCATCTACTCCCAAGAAGCAAAGGAATTTTACTATTGTTAACAGACCTCTTTTGCTCTCAACTACCTTGATTTGAGTGTTGCTTTTTTATCTGCCAAATCTGTTAGTGGGGAAACTATTGTCAAGAATTTCCTCCCAGACATATTGTTGAAATAGCATGTGTGCGGACCATTAGCAATACCAGACCTATTTTGATTTGGTTGAAATTGGTTGTTTCAGAGGACAGAGTCTGTGAATGTACTATTCATTCTGTAATGGGATTGTTAAATTGTTAAAATGCACTTATATTAAAGATGTGTATGTGTATAGTAATGAATACATATAGTAACAAAATCAAAAATTTACTGGGCCATTCTCTATAAATTTAAAGCAAAAGAGATGATTCAAACAAAACACTTATAAAGCATACAGATCTAATTTTAAATATGATGAAATACATTGGTTTTCTCCCAGAACTCCAAGATCGTTGCCTCTCCAAATCGATTTGGATGAGAGCATTAGAAATGCGTACACCAGAGACCACTGTATCTGTTAATTCCAATGTATTTTTTTTATATACTCTTTGTAAAGGGTGGTTTCAATTTCATCCTTTTTGGAACTTACTCATTTTCTCTCTTTTATGGCCCATCTGTTTCCTGGTCAGCTCAGGTCATTCGTAAATGATGCCATCATCAAAAGTTGGTCTTCGTGGAGGAAGGTGACCAGTCACACTGGTATTCCCCCATGGTTTTGAAACCTGGGGTACTTTCTTGCACACACTTTGGTCAGGAAGTTTTCTAAATCTCCCAGTTGTGGTCTTATTTGTATGGTTATTGTTCCTTCTAGTGATCTGCGCTTTTTTTGTGGAGAGGTTTTTTTATTAGAGAAAAAAAAAAGAGTACTGATGGTGATTCTTCTAATGTTTGAAAGCTCTGTTAAGTAAAAGTGAATTCAACTCTGCCAACGTTACCAGTATTTATCTTCAAAAACTTTCTGGTAACAGTTTGTTTACTTCTTTCTCACTTCCCTATTCACTCACCACTTACCCTTAATTCTTATAGGAGAGGTAAAAGCATGCTTTCAGCCTGTTTGCCTAAGTTTGCTCATTGGCATCAAATTCCTCTTTTTTCTTGGGGCAGTAAGTTTTATAAATCACCAATGGAGAAAAAAATAAATGGCATATGTGTTCATAGAATATGTCAGTTTGAATCTTGTTTTATAGCTTGATGGTAAGGAATTTGCAGCCAAGCTTGTCTGCATAACTGAATTATTCTACATCTGTGTTCATAAAGCACTAACCTGGATTCTTCCAGCAGTGAGATCATTTTGTCCATGAATTTTGGAAAAAGATTTAAATTGTAACTCTACTCTTTGCAGTCCTGTCATTTTATTCCATTTGGGTATTTCTTCTACTCTAAGTGTTGTGTTTATAGAGTATTAAGACTGGCTTCTTTGAGCCACCCTGCTAGGCTGTCATTTTGTAATCACACCTCATAAATGAGATGAGGGAAATACTGAAAAATGGTGAAACGTGAAAACACCTTCCTACTCAATCCCCGTATTCACCTCCTAACTGCACATTTTCAGTATTGCAAATTCAGACCAGCAGAGGCTGGTCTTCACTTCTCTTGGATATTGGCAGTTGAGGGTGGGAACCCTTATATAAAAGTGTAAATAGAGTATTTTTACTTTTATATGTATGCTATAATAGTACATTTTATGAACTAAGGTTTTTCTTGGTAGTGTACTGTATTACACTTCCTAGTTTTATACACACACACACATATATAAACATGGTTTTAATTTTCCTACTAGGTGAAATGAGAAATGATTTATACATCACTATAGAAAGGGGCGAATTTGAGAAAGGAGGGAAGAGCGTGGCCAGAAACGTGGAAGTGACCATGTTCATTGTGGAGAATAGTGGCCAGATCTTAAAGGTATGTGAATACTGGGTACTTTCTGGTAAAATGATCCCGTGTCATCATTTTGGGTTCACCTTTAATGTGATCAGTTAATTTCTGTACTTGCAGTCTTTTCGATCTTATTTTTCTCCTCCACCCCTGTATAGTTTTCTTTCCTTTTTTTAATCATTGATATACCTTCCAGAAAAGAAAGTAGAGAAACAAGAAGGTTATACAGTTGGCTTGTCTCATGAATTGTGGCAGGAATTTCCTCCTGGCAGCTCTTCCTTAAATGTAGCATTTTTATTGTCATTCCATTCTCCCACTTTCATCTGTCGTAGTTTTGGAGGTGAACACTTTGGCGACTGGTTAAAAAAAATAAAATAAAAACTGCCACATTTAGTCCCATGTATTTTCATTTTGATCAAAATAGGGCATGCGGAGTGGGCTATTACTGATTGGGACGGTAATAGCAGGTTCCTTTCAGGTTCCTTTATGCGAGAAGTTGTTCGTGCGAGCCTCACAGCTTCCTGCATTTCCCAGGGAGGCACAGAACAGGCTTGTGACAGGGGCAGGCTGAGGACTTCGCCGCGTAGGTGAACTCCAAATTGGGCATGCAGTTGCCCATCTCGTGCTTGTCCCCAAGGTCCTCCCTCGGCACAGGAGGCCCTGGGAGATGTGCGTGGGCATTAAACAGACGCGGTCACTGGCAGAAGCAGGTACAAAACAGCACTGCGAAGGACAGGGGAGGCCGTTCTCCATGAAGTGCCGTTTGGAGAGCAGGCAGATAGAACAAAGCAATTGCTCTGCTGTTTTTCAGATAATCTCTAAATGAAGCTTTCTTTAATCTGCATGTTTCCTTTGTTTAGGATTTTATCTCCTTCGGCTCTGGAGAGCCGCCAGCTAGTGAGTACCACTCCTTTGTGCTTTATCATAACAACAGTCCCAGGTGGTCCGAACTGCTCAAACTTCCTATTCCTGTGGATAAATTCAGGGGCGCACACATCCGCTTTGAATTTCGGCATTGTTCCAGTAAGTGTTTCTTGGGGTTGGCTTTGTTGTGCTGGGGTAAGGTGCTTGCTGAGCTGTGGTGACAGTATGGGCAGAAAGGGTGACAAAGCAGAGACCTTCAAGAGGGAGGAATGAGGGTCAGTGGGGTCCTGAGAGGTGAGTGGGCTCACTTCTTCTCAAAGAACCAATAATCTCTGTGGAAACATACAGGAAGGAGAAGGAGGGAAACAATACATATGGAAGTCTACAGGGTTCTCCTTAAATTGATCATTTTCATAAAAAATGAGTTTATCACTTTCGTAGTCCAGAAAGATTAGACAGAAAGGGGAGACACAGCATTAAAAACTCGTCTGGCTCAGCGGGCTTAGGCAGTCCTGACCCATCTGCTGCTCTCCAGCCAAGAGCTCACCCAGCTCTCAGACAGCTCAGGGGAAACCACGAGGACTTTCCTGGGCCTGTGAAGTCCCTAGGAAAGCCTCTGATTGGCTCAGATTTATATCTGATTTGCATATGTCTGCATCACCATGCCGTCTTGATATTCAGATGACAAGTAATGTCAGTCGAATAGGCCTTAGAGATGATGTGAAATAATTGCTTCATTTTACAGAACTAAAAAAATCCCAAGATGTAGAGATGATAAAGGATTTGCCCATATAAACATCACTGTCCCTAAAATTGTCACTTCTTGACATCTCTATTTTAATTCTTTTGCACTCTTGACCACCTTCTCAAGCCCCCACTCCCATCTTCTGGTATCCCTGTGTCCCTGACGCGTATCTTAGACACTACCAGAAGTGCTTGCTTCGGGAACAAACAAGAGGCACAGAGGAATCACATTACTGGAGAAACAGCAGACTTCTCTCTAGTCTGGAAAGAATGGGGGCATTGCCAATAGACAGGAGGTGCCCTCGCCCGAGTGCTGTGTAATTCACCCAGGATTCAGAGAGAGGACTGTCTGTTGCAGGGATGATGGCATGTTTTGGAATTGGCTCAGGGAGCTCCAGTAATGATGCTTTGGTGGATGTTTCAGAATGTAGGGAGATGACTAGCAAGGTCTTACCGTTCTTCCAAATTCCCAGAGGAGTGTCATGGAAAAGACTGAGAGTGACAAAACATAAAGCACTTGGAATGGTGCTATTGCATTCCTTCCCCAATCTTTGTTATGAATTCTCAGTCGAGCTCACACGAGCTTTGAACTTTAAGGTACAAAAAAGAGAAAAGTAAAGATGAAATGAGAGAAAAGGGAGAAAGAACATTTGGAGAAATTTATTTTAACTCAGAACTTGGAAAATGGAAAAAAGGCTATTTTCAGTAAAACCTATTAGATCTCTGTCCTCTTGTCCTTGTATTTCAAACATTGTTCACAGTGTTAGTTTGTTTTTTGAATTTCGTTGTTAAACTTCAGAAGAAACAGCACAAGCATGAAGAAAAGAAATCCCCATAATCCCATAAACTGAATAATCAGAGCAGTTACTTTATCACATGAGCTCCCAAGTATTTCTCTGTGTATATGTATATATATTATATATATTTAAAGATTTTATTTATTTGAGAGCGAGAAAGCGAGAGACTGAGCATAAGCGGTGGTGGGGGTGGGTGGTGCAGTGGGAGAAGGAGAAGCAGACTCCCCACTGAGCAGGGAGCCCAATGACACAGGGCTCAATCCCAGGACTCTGAGATCATGATGTGAGCCAAAGGCAGATGCTTAACCGACTGAGCCACCCAGGCTCCCCTGTGTACATATGTTTATTCAAGAAGTATCTTTTATTCATGAAACACATGTTTACTGAACACTTACTATGTGTCAAGCACTTTACTGGGCATTGGAGATACAGGAGTGAACACAACTGAGTATCTCCTCTCATAGAGCTTTCGTGCTAGAAAGGGAAGACAGACAATATCTGAGCAAATAAATACATACTATATCAGGCCGTGATAAGTGCTGTAAAGAAGATTAAATTGGGATTAGGTGCTGGAAAGTGATGGTGCTGTGTTGCTATTTTACAAAGAAGCTCTCTGTTAATGAGATGTATCAGCAACAAGCTGAAAGAAAGGCATGAGCCTTTGGGTATCTGGGGAAAGACTATTACAGGCAGAGAAAACAGTAAATATAAAACACTTAAGCTTGAAACATGCTTGGCAGTTTTGAGGGATATCCAGGAGGCCAGAATGAGCAGCTGAGAGAGTTTGGAGATGAGGCCAGAGATGTAGCAAGGGAACCAGATATCCCATATTGTCTTGTAAGTCATGGGGAAGACTTCAGACTTTGTTTGGAGCAAGGAGCACCCTTAGAGGATTTAGATTTAAAGAAGAGCCTAGCTGCTTTTGTATGATAGGTTGTAGGTGGGAACAGAAAGACCATTCAAGAGGCTTTAGCAGTCCTCCAAGTAAGAGGTTAAAAAGGTTTGCATTAGAATGGTAGTAGGTCAATTCTTTTTCACAGATTTATTGATAGACTAGATATGAAGGAAGGAGAAAAGTCAAGGATGACCCCCAAGATTTTGGCCTGAGAGAGGGCAACATGAAAAATCAAACTTTTGGAGAGCAAAAACCAAACATTGCGTGTGAAATCTGAGAAGTCTCTTAGATATTCAAGATGTCAAATAGACAATTGAAAGCAATCCAAGCTGGAGACTTAAGCTTGAGAAGGAGGACATACGGTTCAGTGCTGTGCCGTAAATATATAATAACCACAACTTGAGCTGGGGGAGAAGGGACCCCTGAATTATAGGATTTGCTGATTTCCATCAAGTAAATATTCCCACCATGGCCAAATTCAAGCTACTAACATGACCATCACTGAACTTGGAGTTGGGAAAAGATGCACAGTGTCAACTCTTGCAGGCCACTACCAGCCAGCTCCAGCATATCACCGATGCCCATGATTTTCAGAGCCATGACACTGGACGCGATTTCTAAACAGTAAGTTTAGATAGGAAAGGGATGTCCAAGAACGGCTCTCTGGTGTACTTTCACATTGAGATCATGGGAGAATGAGAAGAAGCCACTAAGGAAATTAAGAAGGAATAGCCCGTGAGGTAGAAGGAGAATCCAGGAATAGAACCCAGGAAGTTAATAGAAGAAAGATTTTCAAGAGAGGATTGATCTGCTCTGCCAGGTGCCAGTGATAAATCAAATAAGTGGAAGACAGAGGGATTATCACCTAGTTTGGCATCATGGAAGTCATTGAACCTAACAAGTGGTCTTAGTGGATTTGTGGTGATGGAAGCCTGGCGCGAGTGAGTCCAGGAGTGAGGTGGAGGAAAGGAAGGGCAGGCAGTAAGTACAGACAGATCTTTCCAGAAACTTTGCTCTAAAGAATACAAGAGAGCAGAGAAATGGGATAGTAACTCTAATGGAACGGTGGGTCATGGGAGGGTTTTTTTTCTTTTTTAAGATGGAGTTCTAAAACATGTTTGGTGCAAATGATTTGGTAGAGAGGACAAGCTGATGATGTAGAAGAAAGAGGGGTCAAGTGTAGGAGCAGTGCCCTTGAGGATGGGAAGCATGGGGTCCAGTGCTCTGGGTTAAGCGGACAGTTCAGGCATAGTGCAGGAGGGCCCACGCAGGTGGGGTAATGGGCAGAGCGTGTGGGAGCCCTCTGTGCATCTGCTGAGAGTGAGGGACATGCTGAGGTATTGGCAGCTTGAGAAGGGAAGAGGATGGATGAAATCCCTATCTGGAAAAGTGAAAAGGTGAGCTTAGAAAAATGTGGCAGATTTGCCCAGCTCAGGGCCCATCTCTGGTTAATGTGCATTCATTAAAGTGAGGTTAGTATATGGTGCAGGTGTAGACTAAGGTGCAAGTTGGGTATCAGCCCAGTACAATGTTAACATTACAATAATGAGAAACATGGAGGGGTAGCGGGTAGAGAGGGTTCGAAGTGATTAGGAGGATGAAGCGTAGAAATGGGAAGTGAGAGCAGAGGGGCATGGAGAGGGGGTCAGTAAATTGGAGGTCCCAGGACACAGTTGTTGGAGTTAGGGTATTAGAAAGAATGGATTGGAAAGTTAGGAGGTGGAATCCATAAATGTAGGGTCTTCATTAGTAAAAGAAGGCGTCATAGTCCATTCAACTTATTGGCTGATCTAGTGGCTCAGGACAAAAGGCCATGTACTTTAAACTTTGGTATTTATTTTTCTTTTATAACAAAAGACAAATTTGGGGAAACTATTGCTTTGTTTCTTACCTTTGCTAATTTATTCATTCACGAAATCTTGTTACCCTCCCAAATTAAATACCAAAAATGACACCAAAAATGTGGTCACATAAACTTAGGAAAGTATTTCTAAGTAAGTCTCCTCCCCTAAATCATAAGTTCCATAGCCAGCACTCTCACTGATGTAGAAATCTCATCCTAGAGATCTTCACTGTGATTTTCACTTAACAGTGATATTTTCCCAGTTTCTCTCTGGGGTTGAAATTAATGACTTTAGAAGAAAATCGTTTCCTAGAAGCACATTTTCAGGGATGTCCTAATGCTAGGGGCCAAAACCAGCAAGCCAAAATTACTGTTCTCTATGTGGTGTCCCACTTTCCTGTGGTTAAATGCCAGAAGCAATCATGAGGGAATGATGTGTTGCTAAAGTCTCCTGTTTGATCTTCAAGGTCACCATATCTAACTCCTGCTAGCTCAGGCCTTACTGCATCCCAGAGCTGAACTCTTCTATCAAGTATAATGCTCCACTTCCACACCTGTGTGGGAAAGAATAACCATCCAGCCCAGGATAGGCTGCAGACCCTGGAATTCCTCCCTGCCCATCTCAATACAAGGAGACAGTCCAGTAGAACCAACCAGTTTCTTTTAAAGCTTTCTCCATTTTTGGAGAAAAGGAAAGTTGGTGGAAAGAACTGGAATGGTACTCGAGATCTAGAGCAAATTACCTGATATCATGCGATCTCAGTTTCCTTCTCTGTGAATAATTGCCAATGATCTCTGACCTTTCTAGCCATTGTAATTCTTCATTAGGCATCTGAAAACCTCATTGCCCCATTTCCAGCTTCCAGAATACTACTGTAATAAGCTCTTCTTAAGCTATAGATAGCAGTTCATGTTTTTTATCCACATGTCTAAGATCCCAGGGAAGTAGCTTCCACAGGGCTCTCTGTCTTCACACATGTGGACATAGGGAAAGTTCTATTATAGGCCAAGGCAGAGCTTAGAAACTACCTTTGCACGAGTCGTAAACAAAACTTTGAATTTCACGTCCATTCATTCACTTGTTCGTGGATTTAACATATACTTAGTGAGAACCTGCTATGTTCTTGGCACTCTTTGAGGACCAAGCTTGAATAAAATAACGTAGAATCCTGCCCTCAGTGATGCTTACGGCTGGGAGTGGAGGGTAGGACATGAAGAGAAAAAACAGGCAATCCAGAAATTTTTTTAAAAAACATAATTTCAGATAGTGAGTCCCATGATGAAAATTCATCAGGCAGTGTCCTTTGCAGGCTACAGGGCAGGAATATGGGTTGGAGGGTGGCTCCTATAGATAGAGGTCTCATCGCAAAGCTGCTCTCAATTGTGTAGAGGGAACTGGTGAGTGTGGGTTGTATTTCTTGATGATCAGGCTTGTTGGCAATCTGTGAGTCAGAACACAAGTGTGTAAGCAGGCATTTTAAAAAGGAAATAATTCTTTCTCTCTTTTCTCACAGCAAAGGAGAAAGGAGAGAAGAAACTGTTTGGTTTCTCCTTCGTCCCTCTGATGCAGGAAGATGGTAGGACTCTTCCAGATGGCACTCATGAGCTCATCGTGCATAAGGTAACATCAGTCAGATGTTGGCGACGGGCTGTGATAAACAGGGCTGAATTATTAACTCATTATCTTGTTATCACTCTGGAAAAGAGAAAAAAATGACTGAAAAAAATACTCTTTTGGAAGATTGTTGGCAAGGAGTGTGTCTTTTTGAAAGGATGGTCTCTGTGTTCTGTGTCATTCTGAAACGTGTTTTAAAGATGATTAATATCTTTATCTTAACTTAGGTGTAGATGTTTGGGAAAGTCTCTATGTTGACCTTAAAGTTCTTTCCATTGCTGTGAGAGGGTTAAATAACCTTACAAATAGGTTTTTAAATATTTCCAGTACATACGTGCTTTTGGTACCGCCCCAGGAATAAATTTAGCAGGGTCATCATTGCATGTTTCTGGTTTGCTGCTCTCACTAAGCAGGCAGAGATATGGTGGTCCTCTGTCTGGACAACATCAGCAGTTGTTACTTTCTATTTTGTGCATCAGGAATCGTCGTAAAAACATTGGGAACGAAGTATACTGTAGTACGCAATAAAAAGAAAGTTCACAAAACCAGAGCTCCTTAGAAGTTATCAGGGAATACTAGTAATAATGAAGTATACTAGTCACTGTAAAATACAGAATTAAAATACACAATTTTCTCCAAAATACTTCTCTGTTGCATTTCTCTGTTTCTGTAATCACATGACATTCCAGGCTCTTACCAGCTTGCCCCTGAGCTAAGTGGTCCTGCCCACCTGGCTCTTGTCTCCCTCTGGTCCAGATTTCAGCAGCCGTTGGGGTGACCCATCTAAGGTACAGGTCTAACGGGGCCTCTTCTCAATTTAAACCCCGTAAAAAAACTCCCAATTGCTGAGAAAATAAATCTCAGACTTCTCAGGATGTTCAAGGCTTCTGACTCCCAACTGCCTCACCTCTGAGTGCTTCTGTTCTTGATACCATGGCCACATCCAGCTCTTTCTAGTTCCTTCCCCCACTGGCTGCTGGTTCTCCCTGCTATGACTTTGCCCTTGGCACCCCTAGAGTCATGCTTCCCCTGCCTCTCTTCGTGGCTAACTCTGCTCATCCTTGGAGGCTCACCTTGTCCACAACCTTCATCAGAAGAATGGTCCTCACTCCCCGGCCCCCACTCCCTGTGTTCCTAGCTGGCCAACTGCCCTCCCCTGAGTTCTGTAGATACCTGCACACATCTCTTACCATTGTACTCATAACACTGTCCCCTAACTATCTGATGCTCCCTCAGCTTACTCCAATAGATTTAGGAGTCCCTTAAGAGTGAGAACTTTGTCAGGGGTTCTGGCACACCGTAGGTGTGCAGCAAAGATTTACTGAATGAATGAAGGAGATACAAACAAAAACTTCCCTTACCTTTGGATTATTGCTAATAAAATGAGTGTCAATGCATGACACACCTGGTCACTTCTGCTGGTATGCACATGGTTATGTATGTGCATGTTTCTTGAATCATTTATTTTCTAGTTATTTGTTCAACACATTTATCAACCACAAATGACAAGTCAGGCACTATCCTAGGTTCTGGAAATGTAGTGGTGAACAAAACAGTTCAAGTCCCTCCTGTTTCTGGCATTTACGTTCTCTCTACTTCAAAAATGGACTTCAAGATGCTTACAATGTTAAAATACAAAGGAAAAGTATCTTAATCAGTAAAGCAAACAGAGGATCTCAATGTACTAGGTACCTGAGATGATCAGTTTATCTCTCTGTTAGGTGGGAGGTGCCTTTTGTGAGATACATGACAGGCAATGTCTTCAGCTACAGTTTTCCAAAAGACATATGGTGCTTTGTATGAGTGTTTGTGATTTTGCCTCTGTGTAACATTAAATCTTGACTCAGAAAAGGCAGGGTTAAGTTAATTAAAAGTGAGCTCCAGTTTTCCCACTAATATATAGAAGAATGAATCACTCTTATATGGCACATCAAGTGTGGACTTTCTCACCTCTGGGTTAGACAGTGTTTTGGGGCAGGTGCTAAGTGTCCAGTCAAGTCCAGATTGACTCCTCTAAATGAATACAAATAATGCCAAGATTCACAGTTGGTTTTTAAAGACATCCATATTCTTAAGATGCCAGGAGGACAGGTAGCAGGCCTTGCTTCTCTACCGAAGTATTTAGGAGTTCAACTGGTATCGATTCCCAGACAGAGAACCATTCTACTCTGATATCGGAGTCCTGTCGGGTGCCGGTTGGCAAGGGCAAACTTTTCTCAGAAGCAGAGCTTTGAATCTGCTCATGCCCTTGTACAAATTTTCATGGAGTATTCAGAATTCTGATCCATAATGCATAGGAAAATTTATTTATTTGAGCTTGAGCAATTTAAAAGGCAAGTGTTCCCGATGATCTTTCTGAACCACAAAGGAGGCTCAGGATGATGTCTGTAGATTGTCTAATTTTGGGCAGACCTACTTTGAGGGGGCCCGTCAGGAAGCATTAGCTCCACAGAAGAACCGTAAGTAGCTGTGTCGTCTTATGATTAGGGTTATTCAATGTTGCTTATTTAAAGAGGTGTGGGATTCTCGCCAAGTATAACAACTTTTGTTTTTAGTCTAGTTGATGCCATGATTTTCTTTTTCATAGTACTGAGCCAGCAAGTTCAGTTTCAGCCTAAGGCCTCTTGTAGTGTAATGATTATAAAACCATATTATGAGCATAATGCTTATCCTTCTTCTGTCATGGGAGAAGGCATGCAGCCTGCTGATAGTTGCAGCCTTGAATTTACTATAAAAAAAAAAAAGTAGAAAAGAGAAAAAAAAAAAAAAAAGGAGGAGGACTGGTTTCAAATCATTGAGTAAAAAAAATAGCCCATGTAATAAGTAGTGTTGAGATGACCATGATAGGTGTTGGGGGAAAAGAAAGAACTGGATTTCCTACCTTGCTCCTTAGACCAAAACAAGTTCCAGATTAAAGGTTTAAAAAAAAAAACAAACTTGTATGAGCCTTAAAAATATGACTGAACATTTTTATAACATTGAGATAAGGAGGGCCTTTCTAAGAATGGCTCAATGTTAGAAATCAGGTACAAAAAAAAAAAACCTTGTAAGTTTGACTACATAAAATTTCAAACCTCTTATCGACAAAACTATCATAATCAAGGCTGAGAGAGACACATGACCAACTCAAACAGTTGCAATGCAGCTTACAAAGGGTGTCTGTTCCAGGTTGGCCATGAGTTATTACAGATTAGCCCTGAAGAGAGCTGTTTACAAGATTTTACCATTCTACCTACCCAACCACTTCCCCTCTACTTAGCAGAGAAAACAGAAGCCATCAGACAGGAACTTTCTTAACTTCCTGTGTTCTCTCCTTTGCCACCTGCAAACTTATAGGCATCCTTCCCTTCCTTCCTGCTTCCTATCTCAGATGATGGGATAAGACTCCTCTCCAAGCCTAATTCTTCCACCTGCTTCCTTCAGGATCCCCCTCCTTCCTGACTCCCAAGAGACCCCACTCTTCCTCCTGTGACTATATCTGTTTCCTTTCTTCTGGCAGGATTCTCTCAGATCATAAACCTGCTCAAGCCTTTGTCTTAAAAACAAAAACAACAAAAACCTTTTTAAATGACCATACACTCCTTCCCCTGCCATCACCGTCAGTCTCCATGAAAAGCTGGTCTTCCCTCACCGTCTCTACTTCCTTGCATTCCATTTGCTCTTCAGGCTGCTTCTATCCCCACAGCTCAAATGAACTTTCTCCCTCGTAGTCACTAGTGCCCAACCTGGGTCCCGTAACCCCTGTTACATTACTCAGCGTGAGAGAAATTAAAAATGAAACGCCTATAACCTTTTAAAAATTAGAAGTAAGCTGATATACTTAGCATAGAAATGTGCCATGCTGAACAGAAAAAAGAAAAAAAGGCTAAGATAACTTAATAGGTGGACTTGGTCTTAGCACTGAGGCTATTAATGGGACATCCAAAAGCCCCTTCTTTCTTACAAATTATACCAGGACATCGTCAGTCTTCCCAAAATGGCTAAAGCCACTGGCCACTTTTCAGAATCTTTTCTTACTTCCTTTCAGCATGTAACACCATTGGTGACCCTTCCTGAAAATCCCACATTCTTTGGTCTGTTCCAACAGTGTTCTCCTGAGTTATATCCTTCTTCTCCTTTGAGGACCCTGCTGTCTTTATCCACACCGTACACGTGGGTGTTGCTATGGATTTCATCCTTGGCCATCGTCTGTGACTCCTCCGGTCTAAAACCATCTCAGCTACTTCCATGGGTTTGCTCACCATCACATCTCTGTTGCTGATGGCCACACTGGCTTTCCAGCCCAGAGCTTTTACCAGCCTACTGACCATCCACAGCTGGCTTTGCCAGGGACACCTCAAACTTAGCAGGTCCCAAACGGAGCTTTTCTCTTGGGTTTTTCCTAATTGAGAGGTCTCAGGCAGTTCCAAGGCTTTTTTATGTTGAAAAATCCCATGCTCCAGCCTTTACTAAGGTACATATTGTCTGAATATACCTGAACTTTAACAACAACAACAACAAAAAGGTGTTTTTAAGATATTTTAGACTTACAGAAGAGTTGCAAAAAATAGTACAGAAAATTCCCATATACCCTTCACCTAGCTTCTCCTTATGTTAACATCTTACATAACCTTAGCATATTTATTGAAACTAACCTTTATGCGGTACTTGAATTTCACGAGGTTTTCCACTAATGTCATTTTTCTGTTTGGGAGTCCAATCCAGCATCCCACATTGCACTTAATTGCCATGGCCCTGGAGTCTCCTTTATGTGCTTTTCTTCTCCCAGTGCCTTGATAGCTACCATTTCTTCCACATAAAAGGCCTTTTCCTCTCTTGCCTGCTTGGTGAGCCTCTTCTTCTCTGTGACTGAAGGCAGGCAGCCCCTTCCCCAGCAGGGCTGGAATCCAGTGGCCCTTATCACAACTTTGTCATGGGTACTAAGTGCAGAGGTCAGAGGTATCATGCCCTCGGGGACAGGGACTGTGTTTATTTTTTTTTTTAAGATTTTATTTATTTATTTGACA